TTGAACCTCCCAATATTCTGAACTGGTATGATATTATCTATTAAAAACAATTCCAAGTGTAATTTTGGAATACAATTCCTATCATCATCAAAATACATATATGTGAGAAATCGTAATTTGTCATACATTAATTTAAATGTCTATTTTAACAGTTCACTTTTTATAGACTTCAGCAACACACTTCATTACAGATAGTATCATCGATTGTTTCACTCAAAGTTTTGTACATGTATCCGTGTTCAAATGTAATAATAACGCCACTATTAATTTTAGTGAACAATACCGAATAGCAAATGAAAGAGATTTTGGTGCAAAACAATGCACTTATAGAATGTTCTAGGAGGGATGGAACCTACTATGAGAAAACAACGGACTCTATTTTTGTGAGTGACACCTCCCAATAGTGAATCCCTAACACCAATGTATGTCACTATTAGTAGGTTACTAGGAGGTTATACTCAAGGCTAAGCACTATACTCTTGTGAATGACACTTCCCAATTAAATTGAAATCCTAGCACCAGTATATGTCACTATTGCAAGGTTCAACTCTATACTAGTCACTTCATTCACATTTCGATTTTTTTAAGTCTAAATACCACGAATGATGAGAATTCCCGTTGGAATAAAGTAGCCTTCAGTATAGCAAACGCCACTGGATTGATTGCTAGTTTTCAAAGTCTGACTACGGCATTTGGAGGTTTTCAATTCTGGTAGGGTCGGATTATTTGTGAAAATATACGCAAGATAAACAAGCTAAGCCTGGTTGTACAGTGAATGCTTCAATATATCGTTCACAAACTGTGAGAAGTACTGTCAAAGCTTTCATTGATACAAGGAACATCTTAACTTAACATATTCCCTAAGTTAAGTTTGATCAAACAAAAGTGTTTGATCAAGTTGATCTTTGCTTTAGTTTTTTTTTTTTAATTTAAATTGACGAGGTTAGATTCATATATTAAACAGTATGAGCAATAAGATTGTAGCATGAATTTACCACCTGTTTCAATTGACAAGTTACACAAACTTACTAGAGTACAATCAAAAAATTGATAGAAAAAACGAAGAATTGAAAGCTGCATCTGCCTGTTGTAAACATTTTGTCTGTTGCATCTGACTTTTTTACTCTCAACAAACTTCTAGTGAAACTTTTTTTTCTAAATGAGTTTCCGAATGTATAATAACTTGAAATTCAAAAATCAATCAAATCTCAAGTTTTCTAATCACAATTTTTTATCTTTTAAAAATTTCTTAATAATTTTGCAATCGTTCTACGCAATTCTAAGTTCAAATTACATTATTGAACTATGTACTATTTCAAGAAATCTTTATTTTCTCAAAAGTCTAAACTTTAAGTTTATGCATATCTCACTTGTAGAGATCCCAACCCTTTCACAGTTTTCATAAAAAAAATTCCAAAATTCTACGAGTTCTCATAATTGTTGCCAATAAATTTCCATCGTTTAAAACTTCTACATCTATGAAATAAAAAATTGTCAACTTTGAATTCAAGTAAAGTCAAAACAACTTTTAACTTCATTTAATGTTAAAAATCCAGCCCAACTTTACCATCAAGTCATGATATAAACATTAAAAGTTACGTGTAATAGAATGTTAAACAACAATTTCAACATAATCACGGATATAAGAAATTTAAAAAGTTTAACAGGAAACCGCATTATAGGAATCAATTGACAGAATAATCACATTTGGAAATCTATCACTAGTTGCATAAAATTTTCAAAAAAATGGTATACTAACCAAACCCAAAATGATCGCAATGAAAACATTAAATATTGATCACAAAAGCATTAGACAGCGGAGCCTCCCGAAGCTTGTAACCTTCAAGATCTAAACCACTTTTAATAATGATTATGTCCAGTGTCGTGGAACTTTATCAACTTCACCACTGAAAGCCGATCCAAACCTTGTCAAAAGTGAGCCACTTTATTGCCTTCATAGAGCAATAAAGTGAATGGGTGAATTCAAGAGGCTTGAAATTCAGACAATAACAGAGAGAAGTTACAAGCACTGGTGGTGAGATGAAAATAGGTCGCCCGGCCACAAATTCCACAAGAACATAACCCGATCACTCACCGAAGACTGACTCTGCGGGTTCACCATGACTCGGGTTAAGAAAGGCGAACTTTGCAACTGAAGTGGTGATCGAGTGAGTGAGCTTAGCTCAAGCAACTCTCCATTCTATATTCCGACAGTGCACTGACCTCGACACGTGTCAGATAATCCTTGAGCAGTTCGCGAAGCAGAACTCTGCCAACATCCCGAGCCCCGAAAGCAATCATACGATCCCACGTACCCCACCTCCGTGTTCCACGCGTTCAGATTTCCCGAGCTCAGACAAGTGTACCGACACGTGTCTGCAGGAGATCGGCGGCCGGAATTTGGTAAGAAACGAGAATGACATCTGGAGGCCCCTGCGCCAATTGAGTTGTGCATGGGGCCGACAGCATCTCTCAGAAAATTGACTAAAAACCGGACGATGGAGAGCGCTTGGACCTGGGAATCAATCGCAGTTGATCGTAGGCCCCACCGATCCTGCAATTTCAGAATTCCTTGACCCGAGGGAGGTACACTTGTTCGACGGTAAAGCGAGGCCCCGTGACGCTCGTCTCCTCGGCCTTCCAAATAACTGGTGCTTCACAGAGCATCGACAGGTCCGGGACCAATCGGAGCACTCCACAAATTTAAATCACGGACGGTCTCAGATCCTCGCACCTTGAGAAGAACTCGCTTCAGAGACGTTTCGCGCTGAGGCCTGGAAAAAGAGAAAATCTCGCTCCTGAGTTCATTTCTCGCCATTTGGCCTGCACAAAGGGCCGAGGCGGAATTTAATCGAATTGCAGCGCAGTCAAAAGGGTTAGTGCCGATGAATCCCAGGGGGGTGGAATTATTTCGGCGTATTGTGTCGCGTGAGGTGGTCCTCGTTCATCGTTGGACTCGACTTAGACCTGAGTTGAAGCTCTCGCCGAGATTCGTGCTTGACTTTGAGCACGGGGGAAAGCGGAGGAGCAGCGGAACGAGATGGGACGGCGGCGAGATCTCTGCTCCGTCGTTTTGCAGGTTCGTCGCCTCGGGGAGGCTCTCGCTGTCCCTACAAAGCTCGGGGACGTCATGCGGCTGAGCTCATGAGATAGAGAGCATGCACTCGATGCTCGACTGACTGACTGCACGCACCTCACGGCACCACTTCCTCCTCCCGCTCCTGCTCCTGCTCCTGCTCCTGCTCCTCCTCCTCGTCTGCTAATGATTCAGCGCAAAGCGCGAGCGGAGGAAATCTGAAAGGGATCGATTGCTCGTCGCTCGCGGTGCCGTGTTGCGCTTCGCCTCTGGAGGTTGTAGGGGCGTGCAAAAGTCTACTCTCGCTGGAACCGCCTCGGCAGAGACACTGAGGACGAGCTCCGTGGCGGGCCAAGCTGCGGGTCTGTATCGATGGCGGTATCCCTGATGAGTGGGATTCACGTGGGCCTGAATGCGCAATGTGCGAGGGCCGCCTCTGCCCCGGCGTGCCAGGCCAATGCCGATGCCGATGCCGCCAGGAAGGTGTCCGAGCTGCGCCTGGGAGGATTTCGCCTGAACAAGTGGCAAGGGCTGAAATGCGATGGGCGAGCGAGGCGAGACGCCCTCCTCCTTCCCATAAGCTCGAACTCTCGACGGGATTCGCCGAGGATGATTCGCGCCGAAGCTGCCCAACAGGAGGGCGATGTAGCAGTCCGGACGCAGGAATTGACTGTCGAGAAGCCGGTCGAATCGACGGAGGACGACCAAGTCAAGGTCGGTTCTCTCGTTCCTTCTATTAGTCAGCGCATGTGTGTGTTTTTGTGTCTCTCTCTTTTACCCTCCCCTTCAACAACCTCGTTCGTGGAACTCGCGACGGTCGGTTCTTTCTGAGTTCGCGGAGAAGGGATTGTGCGATAGCAGGGTCGCGTTTGCAGCTGTGCGCAAGAACACACGTCGAGGATTTGGTTTCTTTTTTTCTTCTCTCTCTCCTTAGTCTTCTGAGATTTTTAAGGATATCTATGGGACCTCGAACCATGGTTCAGATTTCAGTTGGAGTGATCTGAGCGTTATCCCTCGAATAAGTCGTTCGTGCCGTAAAACGTCCTCAGCCGTGCCATGCACATTGGATTGGGCAATTAATTAGCGACCTCTAATTCTCGAAAGCTTCCCATCTCTAGGCTCAAAATTCTTCGTGCATTTCTCTTCCATTCGAACTCTTACACTGGCATCGACGTGTACGCTGTGTGCGAGCTTTCCTCGCGTGTCCTTAAGGCTGAAGTGGGAAGAACAAGGTCATTGCGCTTGATTGAACTGCCCCGTTAGCTCTCGTTCATATCTGCAGAGTAGTTTTCCTCGACTTCATTCTTCAATTAAGAGATGAACCCAAAAGTGACTGCTTATTAGGACCCATAATTCTCTCGGAGATTACCCGCTTGGTCGTGCTCAGGATTTGTGCCTATCACCTTGATCAGCTGTACCTACAGTTTTCTTTCGGGGTGCAATATCTGCAATGCAGTCTATTCAAAGATTAACTAATAACCCGAGGGCCTAGATGGAAGTCCGTCTATGTTGGCCAGGAATTTCGACCCATGCGCCTGTAGAAAAGTAGGCAGGTGAAGTACAGCTTCACCTGCAGCATGAAGTTGTGCTAAGAGAATGGTTACGCATTGAAGCATTCGACACCGCGTTCTTCACGCATCGTTGTTAATGCTCTAGAGGGCACAGCCAAATCCAAACCGACTACGAATCTGATCCGAACCCGTTCTCAATAGGAACGAATTCCGCCAGCGACAGAGTAAAAATTTCAGACAGAAGCCCATTAGCATGCAAGGGCCAATATTCGACGACGCTTCCTTGCTGGAGGAGACCGACGTCGACGATCATGGATCGAAGAGAAGAAAGAGAGAGATGAGTGAGTGAGTGGCGAGAGAGGGGCCTTAGCGGCACGGGGAGCACAGAACGGAAATTTGGAGGCGAAGCAAGTGTCGCCAGGTATAGCAGGCCGAATTCACGATTCGCCACGTGGCGAAACGTCTAGGGTTAGACCTTAAACCCTAGCGCCATACCGAGAGCAGATTGCAACTTGCAACTTGCAACTTGCAAGCATACATCACACTCCCTCGACAGATTCGCCCGCACGCTTTTCGAGTGGAGGTCTTCGCCCTGGAGCGATTCAGAGTTGGTGTTAATCTCCTCTCTGCCATCCAAGGTTTTGTGCTCGAATCGAATCCGAGGGCGTGTGGCTTCGATCTGCCGGGATTTCGCCAGATACGGCATGGTCCAGTGGGTGGTGATACTGCATGGGCGTGCGGTGGGTTTGCAATGCAATGGCGATCCGTGTTTCTTTTTCTTCGGCAGGGAGACAGATTGAACATGTCAACGCTGCTGTCTCGCAGTAAGGCTGTCGCGCCTTACGATGTTAATTCGATGCCTTTGGGGCGGACGGGTGATCGCACCGTCTGATAATTATTCTTTGGAAGGTGATACTGACGGTAGTCTCCCAGAGGTACCCAGTGGTGCGTGTGGCTTGATATACACATGTACTCGTGGTACCGGACGTTCTAATGTGAACCCCGTCGGTAGACATTGTCGCCAGTGTGGTTTTGGCCACTGAAGTTATCCTTTAGTGCCCGTGGCAGTAGCTTCATTCGGAATGGTTCAGATTCTCGACGCTCCAGCGAGGAGCATGGGCATTTGGCTGATAGTCTCAAGACATTGAGGTGACAATCTTTCGCGTCGCCTCAAATGATGAACATCATGGAGCAGCATTTGGAACACCTGGATAGTTTGGATCAACTTGACACGGAAACTGGGAGTGATTCGGATATGCTGGCATTGACTCCAGCTCAAAGCGGACAAGAGCGTAAGTCTCGTCGAGGGGGAAGGCCGAGGTCTCTAGTTTGGCAACACTTTATTGTGTCTGGTGAACGCACTGACAAGAGTCGGCGCTTCAATGTTTGCTGCAAATCATGTGGCATAGACATGGTGAGCCGTCTTGGGACAATGGAGAAACACATCGCTTTCGAATGCGAAAAAGCAGATCCAGATGGAAGAGTCAAAATTCAGGAAAGGTTGGCTGTTAAATCCGCTCAGATCATCGGACATGCTGCTAAACGAGTGAAGAAGGAAGGACGGCGAAAACTTTTTGAGGTTCTGCCACCACACGGGACAGCCCTCTCGTTTCTTCCTGAAAGAGCATGATGTACAGGTTTCGCATTGTGTAATTCGACACATTTGGTCAAGCCTCGCTACTGTTCCCTGTCACGGTAGTGTTATACAGTCTCTTGCTACGTCCTGAATAATATCTATCGGTGCTGTCGACACACTCGACCTCTTGTGAGGACGAGTATGGCCGTAAAGCTGTTTTAACGCTTTAACATCTTCTATATCATCGTAGAGATGATGTCAAAGGGTTTTGGGTTTGAATGATATCAGTGGAATTCGCCTCGCAATAATATACATACATCTAATGATAGACTGAGTAAGGATGATTATTGTTTCCTTTACAGTGCTTGACAATGTGCTGAGAATATTTGTGTTTGCTGCCTCAGGTGCATGAAAGAGACTTCGAACGAGATTTTGCTGGAACGACGTACATCCCCATCTATGTCATGCTCCCTGTGAGTTGATTTCTTTGAACGCTTCACTGTCAACGTGGTTGAGGTTTGAACTAATCATAGTTACATTATGATGTACGTTCACTTCTACACATTCTGACTGCTCTCCTAATTATTATCTGATCGTTATCATACAGCTGAACACCATCGACGAAAACAATGAAGTCTCTGATCCAGAGTTTCTCAAATATGACTTAAGGGCGTTAAAGTCAGTAAATGTAGATGGCGTAATGGTGGACTGCTGGTGGGGGTTGGTAGAGGGGAAAGCACCTCAACACTACAATTGGAACGGTTACAGGCAGCTCTTCAACATCGTTCGTGAGGCGGGATTAAAGTTGCAGGTATGTTCATCATGTTCACGGTGATATCCATTACGTCTGTGAACACTACTCAGGACTATTACATTTATAAATTATGCCAGTCTAATAGATTTTCCACTTTATGTTCCTATCATGTTAAATACTGGCAGGGTAGACTGTCTCTTTCTCTCGAAGGACAAAGGAAATACTGAGGAAAGTTTGAGGAAGATACACCTCTGTCAGCGTGCTTTTCACTTTACTTATTCAATGAGGTGTAGGGGTGATCTTAACTGTACACAGCCGATTGCATTTCATTGGCATATTGAGTATTTGTAGTGTATGTTCTGTGTGCTGCTGAATCTATGCAATACAATTTGTTGAGTAAGATTATACCTACTCACAGTTTGTGTTGCTCTTGTCCGTAGGTTGTCATGTCATTTCACCAATGCGGTGGGAATGTGGGAGATGACACAAATATCCCTATACCATCCTGGGTGTTGGATATAGGAGAGAAAAATCCCGACATTTTTTTTACCGATCGTCAAGGTGTTAGGAACCCCGAATGTCTTTCATGGGGTGTAGATAAAGAACGTGTGCTTGCCGGCCGTACTGGTCTCGAGGTATGTACACATGAAGTTAACTTTTGCTCATCTTCAATCCCTTGAAACCAGTGTCAATTATTCTCACGAAACGTTTTTCTAACTTTTCGGGATATTGCTAATGCAGATCTACTACGACTTCATGAGGAGTTTTCGGTCACAATTTGATGAGTTTTTTGAGGACGGAACTATAACAGAAATTGAGGTTGGTTTAGGGGCATGTGGAGAATTGAGATATCCTTCATATCCCGAACGACATGGTTGGAAATATCCAGGCATCGGTGAATTTCAGGTGAGGAGTCGGCGTACTTGACGGGATTTTATTATCGTATAAACTGGGTAGCGCCTGTGATTTTCGGTCTTCAGCTTTGTGAGAAAGTTTTTTTCTTGAAAACGTGTCTTAAAGATTTAGTAATTTGCTGTAAGGTATCCAATGATTAGCTTTTTAAATTGTAAAGCCATTTTCTCTGTCTTCCGTAGAAGTTGTTTTTGAGAATTTTCTTTTTGTTCTGCGTAGGTTTACGACAAATATTTACAAAAGAGCTTGACGAAGGCAGCAGTACAACGTGGACATGGTGATTGGGCTAGAGCTCCAGATAATGCCGGAGAGTACAATTCAAGACCGCAGGATACAGGTTTCTTCAGGGATGGTGGTGATTACGATAGTTATTATGGACGTTTTTTCTTAAAATGGTACTCGCAAGTTCTGATAGAACATGGAGACAACGTCTTGACCCTTGCAAACCTCGCGTTTGAAGGTTATAAGATTGCTGCTAAGGTGAGATATACTATTCTGACAACTTTAATGTCATAAAACTCTCTCTTTCTTCCGTCTTCTTGAGTGCGTATATCATTTCTATTTATAAAGAGTTTGCGCGAGCATACAACACATTAGTACGCTGACTTAAACACCACTCACGGTTTTAACTTGAGTATTGGTACCGAACCAACCCACGTCTTTGTTGTGTGTCTGCAGGTTTCCGGTATCCATTGGTGGTACAAAACAGCCAGTCATGCTGCGGAGCTTGCCGCAGGATTTTACAATCCGTCCAACCGTGATGGATACGCCCCGATAGCTGAAATGCTTGCAAAGCATAAGGCTGCGTTAAATTTTACTTGCGTGGAACTTCGTACTAGTTCACAAGAAGAAGGTCATCCTGAAGCTATGGCGGATCCCGAAGGGTTAGTTTGGCAAGTATTGAATGCAGCTTGGGATAGTAACATATCAGTGGCAAGTGAGAATGCACTTCCTTGTTACGACAGAGATGGCTACAATAAGATATTGGAGAACGCGAAGCCTTTGAAGGATCCTGACGGTCGACACTTGGTCGCCTTCACCTATTTGCGGTTGAACCCTACTTTGATGGAAGACAGCAATCTGGATGAATTCGCTCTTTTCGTGAAGAGACTTCACGGTAAACAGACTCACTTTTCTTCATGACACAGTCCACTCAATTGTACACCTATCTTCGTTCAAGCTAGAAATAATCAGATGGTTTTTTGTGGTTAACACGTATACAATATACGACCATGTGCTTGCAGTTAATTATGATTATCGAGTTTCAAGTGGTATTGGCTTTGTTAGATCATGCAAATTTAACAATCTTGCATAAACTTGCCGTCATTATATTTTCTCACTATGAACACTGTAATTTGTAACAGGGGAATCTATTCACTGAAGGTCTTGAATTCAAAAGCGTGAGGTTATAGAGCCTCCAGAAAGTGGAAAGGTGCCCTTTAGAAGCAACGCTTGTGGTCGGGAAGACCTGTATATACTCTACTGGTGGAGGCTACAGACCGGATTGTATCACTGCATCTTAGGACTGTAAAATACCCATTATTTCTTGTTGTAGTGTGAGTATCATGCTCCAGCGTTCTGCAATTACATAATCTGAGAAAGATTAGATAGGCCGATACTGCACCTCAAAAGCAGGAGAATCCTGTGTTGTAATGAGATAGTAAGGGAAGTGTGGAAGAGAATGTTCAATGGCAGGTCATTTTTTATAGACTACACTTCTTTCATTTGGGAAAGGTACGGAGCTGTATTGAAGGTGAAATGGAATCGAAAGTGAATGTATGATTTCAAGACATTCTAGTCACATTCACGAATATGTGTGCTTGTAGTAGTAATCTTTGTCATGATTGTATGGGTGTACATATCAAACTTTCATGTTGGGGAAATGATCATAGTCTCCTGCGCTGATGAATGCAGCATTTTGATGCTTGTACTGGATTGTTGATGTACACCATGTCACAAGATTCATCATCTGTGGATATTTGTACGTGAAATTTTAATATAAAATGTAGATTTAACTTCCTTGAACGTTAAAATCAAACTGAAGTGGAAAAATAGAATACCAAGTAATTATAAATACACAGTACAACAAATTTGCTAATTAATAAAACTTTCTTTCTAAATATAAAAAGTGTAACAAAATAAAATATCACAATAAACATGAAACAAAATGAACACTTTATATAAAACTCAACAAAAAATATGTATATACTACACTAAGAAAAATGATTGTATCCTCGTATATGAAATAATCTACCTGAAAGAAGAACAACGACACGGTCTTAATATTAATTAATGAAAGGTAAATCCTTAAAATGTAGAATACCAATATAATTCAGTTTCATTAATCGACAAATCATAAGCTAATTATCATACAGTATGTCAGCCATGGAAAGTCATGCAAAATATGCAAAACAATGCATCCGAATCGACCACTCGATCTTTATAAGCAATGACAACATTCTTTCGCGGCTACCGCAGGGAAGAGAATAGCAAACGGAAGAGGTTTTAGTTGATATTCAAATTGACTCCAAAATGACGTAAACTTAAAATGACAGAGACAAGCAACATCAAAATTCACCGGCAACCAAAAACTGGCTCTTGTGTCGACGAATAAAGCAAGTCCTTATCCCCATCCTGCTACCGAATAACAACTCGCGCCCGCCACGCCCACGTCGCCGGTCTCGATTCTCGACTTTGGTCTCTCGACAACAGAGTGTGACGTCGTAGGATATGCAAAGAGCCCGAGACTCGTCCACGACGGTTCCTTGCGCTTGTGCGAGTACAAGTTCCGTTGCTGATTTGTAAAGACAAGATTGGGCTTTTGTGATCAGTCGAGCCCAGCACTGCAGTGCTTCTGGAGCCTCCATGTAAGCGCTGATTATTGTTTTAAAGCATTGGAAATCCTCTTGTGAACAAAATTCTCAATCTGTTGAGGTTGTTGCTTCTAGAAGTAGACAACATTTTACTATGTCTGCCTTTCTGGATTTCCAAATGCTGTTCTCTTTGGTGTCGTTTTCTCCCGCCTTGGCTTAGCGGCTTCTTTCGTGTAGTATTGGCGTCACGTCGAGTGACGAGGCTTTGAAGTCGTGATGCGAGGTTTCTCAATTGTGAATTTTGGCAGCGGAGGTTTGATTCTTGAAATCAGAGCTGGTGATGGGGAGCCTGAGGCTGCTGGCATGGCCACGCACATGCGTTGTGGTTAGTACAGAAGTTCTTTGCAGGGCTAAGTGTGGATCGTCCGCAAGTCGACCTGCTCTGATCAGGTGTATGAGTGCAGAATCTTCTTCCAAGAAATCCCTCGTTTTTCTTGGAACACCTAGTGTAAGAGTTTCTGCCGATGCCTTCATTCATCTCTGAATCCTAATACACCTGCATCTTTTCTGCTTGTCTCCAACTTCGAACAATTCCCAGTATGTCCTGAATACTTTCACTTTGCAGCCCCTTGTCCCAGCTATATTGTTTCTCTTGCTATACGCCACTCGCATTTTGAACTCTGCTTTGTAAGGCAGAAACAAATTGGGGGCTTATAATGCTGCGAAAGCCTAGCGGTGCTTATGGTATATGTAGAAGCCCAATCTAGAGGCCCTTTTCAACAAGTCCGAGTTTTGACATTTACTCTACAGGTTGCTGCAGATGTGCTCGATGTTCTTCTCGAGGCTAGTCAAGCCGAAAGTTCTTTGTTTGAGGTATATATTTAAATTTGCATAATTGAATGTGTGCCTAAGGATCTGACTAGAATCTCTCATACTTTATTGCATTGCTCTTCAGGGAGACTCAGTTCAAAACTGTCAGTGTCTAATCAAGGCAGGGTTCAGGTGGCAGCTGTGGTTACTCAACCTCCATCAACAAGGGGCAGAGGCCGTAAATTGCTCCCATCTGCCGTAGAACAGCACGCTCTTCATAAAGGCTTTCCGGCTGATCGCATATTCTCCCCTCAAAAAGCAGGCGAGGTACACATTCTCCGTTTCGTTGTTAAGCTTCTCAACTGGACCATTATTTGTGTTGAAGTAACAACCACCTCCTTGGCTTTTTAGCAGTGAATATCATTTTAGTAAATGCTCTGAGACATGAAAAATTATTTTCGTTGATTGTAGAAGCAAAGTCACTGTGTTCGATCTATGCAGGAAACTTTTTTGGCAGAATTGAAGAAACTAAAACCGGACCTTTGTGTGACCGCAGCCTATGGCAATATTTTGCCCACCAAGTTCCTGAACATTGCACCTTGTGGTATGGCGTTCCCCCTTTCTTGGGCATCTGCTGTGACATGTGATATTCTGCGCATTCTCGTCCCTCTTCCCAACACTCTTGTATGTTGCGGTAGTGTTGCCGACTGGCGCTGGTCAGATTATCTTTGTTCTATCCGAGAGTTGTCATTTGTGAACCAAAATGGGGTCGAGGATTTACGGTTGAACTTTTCTATCTTTCAGGTACAGTAAATGTACATCCAAGCTTATTGCCGTTGTACAGAGGTGCTGCCCCTGTCCAGCGAGCTGTGCAGGTGTGATAGCAAAAAGTGCATGCATGTAGAATGAACGAACTATTCCCATTTTGTCCTCGCCGTCTGTTCGTCTAAATGTTGCAAAATACTTCATTGAAAATTTGAAGATGAGTTACCAGCTAATTCTTGTCGATTTTCTCATATTCATCTAGTCCTCAGTGGGATAATACTCTATCGTCATCCATGTAAACGGTTTTAAACATATTTAGCAATCATTTGATTCAACTGAAATACGAAGAGAGACCTCAAACTCCTCTCAAGAACGTTTTACTTCGTCTTTTTTCAGTAATCACTTTATCTAATTATCAAATGTTTTGTAATGAACTACTTAATCTCTGCTAATCAGCAAGTGTTAGCAGTTGTCTCGAATCTCGAGAAAGGAAATAGCGATAGTAAACTAGATGTACCTGGCGATAACAGACAGTAAACTTATGTTCGTGTCGTGGTGGATTGAAGGATGGGGTGAAGGTTTCAGGTGTCACTGTAGCATACACGGTTAGGGCACTGGATGCTGGACCTATCATTGCTGCGGAAAGTCACGACGTGGACTCTAATATCAAAGTAGGTCATTTGCTCGTTTACATGCTCATATTATATCACCAACTAGATGGCTTTAGTCTGTTATTGTCTTGAGTCTACTTGCATTCCCTTCAAGAGCATGATTCGAACACACTAGAGTTAGGACATGTTCTGACAGGATCAGTTTCGAATGGCATGTTAACTTCACGTTTTATTGGTCAAAGAGTTTCTCTGTAATATTTATGAGGTGACATTACGGGAAAAGTCTAATCGTATTAAGGTCTTCCGCAGGTGCATAACGAAGTAAAGAATCCGCTTGGATGTGTAATTTCCAGGAATTTAAAAATCTGTGGTTTCAAATATGCCCTTCTGAACTGTAAGCCATTAATACGTCGTTGTTAGTTTCTAGTGCCTGGTGGGAATTATGGATGATCACGCATCTGACATGTGTTATCATTTAGGGATCCACACTTCTTTCCTAAGAATCTTTTTCGAATGTTGTGGGCAGGCACCAGAACTGCTAAGGACTCTGTTCCAAAAAGGTAGTAGTTTTGAGCCCACATCCCCTACAACCCTGTTTGTTGAAAATGTCGAATCAATGTCCAAGTGTTGCTGTTTCTCTTTGTGTCTTGACCACCCTTTGGCACTTGTGTAGATTTATCACGTCTTGTACACAATGCAAAGTTCAAACTTTTGCACCAAGTGATGAAACTGATCAACCTAATTCTCATGCACTACTTCTTTATTCTAATGTAGTGCTTGTCGAAATCTGCATTTGTGTAGATTTATCACGTCTTGTACACAATGCAAAGTTCAAACTTTTGCACCAAGTGATGAAACTGATCAACCTAATTCTCATGCACTACTTTTTTATTCTAATGTAGTGCTTGTCGAAATCTGCATTTGTGTTTTAGTCCGAGAGTTGGATAAGTTTCATTGGAAAGTCACCTTTGCTACTAAGTATAACATAATCAATGGAGAAGTTGCTCTTTTCTCTGACGAAAGGAAGAAGTTTGAAACGAAGAGTGTCCAGACCTAGGTTAAAAGAGCAAAGAGACTCAGTGGTTGCCACTCTTATGATATGAGCGGCTAGTTGAGCTCCCAGAGCAAAAAGATGTCTGTGAAAAGCGTAGATAATCCTAAGCCTTATCACAAACATGAGGAGTACCCTAGTTGAGGAAGTTTTCCATATGAAGAAGAGCATGTGATATTAGCAACATGAGTGTTTTGAGGATGTCTTAGAAAATTATACATATTGATTGGTACTTGGACTCAGCTTTCAGTTGTCATGTACGAGTCATGTATAAGATATATTTGATATTTATTCAAGAGGATAAAAACAATGTTGAGAGACATGTAGAACTTGCCGTTGTGAACTTGTTCTGACATTAGAATTAAAAAAAGCTAGGTACATATCTACTCTCTTGTGTCATGGTAGTTTCTTCCTCATTGTTTTCTCTACCAACAAAAGCCACTGGGCTTTACCTTAGTTTTTTGTTAACTTTGCTGAGTTGTCCATCTTTTGACAACTTCCAGGATCTGAACTGCTGCTCAGAGAGATGCCCTTCATTCTGAATGGAACTGCCAGAGAGAAAGCGGTAGACCAAGACCATGAGAAGGCTACTCTGGCCCCCAAGGTATCACTCGGCATCACCATGTTAGACAAAATCTGGTGCGCGGGGTTTGTGTTCGTTAGGATGTGACTTTCAGATACGGTTTACGAGGCCTTAAAAATTTGTACTCTGACAACTGGGTCTGATTGCAATGCTAGCACCTGCTTACTGAATGGCCTCGATTCTCTATATATATAATCTTAGTCTGGATTGTATATGTGCTTTCTTAATGGTATCAAAATAGCTTGTTTTAATTCGTTTCTTCGACTGATGTTGGTCTAAAATTTGGAATATAGCACCACGTACGCCAGCTGGACCCCTCTTTGCTCAACTTTGAGCCAGTAAAATCCCTCATTTAATTACTGTATGACATACGTTTATTTACAGGTGGCAATTGAAGAATCGTGGCTGTCCTTTGATCAACCTGCTGAGGTGCTTCATAATAAGGTAATTTGTAGGTCATATACTCGTCCACTAGCCATGTGAGCAATCTCTTTGCTTGGTTTGCCAGATTGGACGTAGATTCACTTCTGGAATTGTGTACAACCTGGAATCGTTGGAGTGCTCAATTTTGAGCTGTGGTAGTAGACAAGACTTTCTGGTCAAAGTTCGTAGAAGTAAATTGGACTTCAGTGCTGAACACGCAAGTTGTAGCAGACCAAATGCACTTGCTAAATTGTGGTGTTCAGGTACGAGCATTCGCAGAATGGCCTGGGACTAGGGCGAAGTTTCTCCTTTCCAGCTCAAATGGGGTTGTCCAGACTATTGAACTTAAAATTGTGACAACGCGTGTAAAACATTTGTCACATGATACCTTGCCTTCTGGAGGCGAAGTATCTCTCCTGGGAGATGCTCTGGTCGTTCCATGTGGCGGTGAAGGATCAGATGGTACTTGTCTGGAGATATTACAATTGCAGCCACCTGCCAAGAAGGTAATGAGTGCACGCGACTTCTGTAATGGCTTGAGAGGCCAGAAGCTGCTGAAGGATATCAATGGAACACGACTGCCTTCTGCTCATATGGCTGCCTAGTTCGTTGGTACACCTGAGAACAATGTCATATTTTACATCTGCAAGCGAAAACCTGTTGATGTTTTATGCGGGCAACTATGGCGAACCATTTAGTTTACTACTTAGGTGGAAATGATCCAGACCATTGAACTGAAAACAGTGACAACGCGGGCAAATTATGGTTTACATTAGTCTTTGCCTTCTAGTGCGAAGTATCGCTCGTGGGAGATGCCTGTCGTTCCATGTAGCCCTGAAGGGTCGGAAGTACTTGTGTAGAGATATGCGTACTTGTGTGTACGAAGAAGATGATGTGCGCAAGCTAGTTCTCTGATGGTTTTAGAGGCCAGAAGCTGTTGTAAGGTTTGAATAGAACATGACTGCCAACTGCACACATGACTGACTAGTAATTGTGTAAGTTGAGATTAAGGTCATGTTTAATATCTGCAAGCGAAAACTTTGCAACGTACTTTGTGGGCAACAGGAGACGCTTTCTCTGCATCTTGTGGTAATGCGAAAATATGTGGAGTGTGGCATTGGCATCATGAGTTAAATGTTGTCTTGCGTTTGCAATTACTTGTCCATTGATGATCGTCACAGGAGTACTGAAGGCATACATGAGAGCTCTATGACATGAACGTATCGAGGTTGGGACTAATCATGACGAGTATTTTCCTTGTGTTGATTTAGAGGCTTAGTGAATCAGTGACACACATTTATAATGAAGGCTTATACAGACTAGGACAGCGAATCGATCAATTAGCCACACCACTTTGATTTGAAGACTTACGAGAAGGCGGCATGCCAGGATACTTCAAAACGCCCTCAATCAAAGATAGCAAAAACGGATACGTTCCTCCAACATAGTTCAGCTTGCAACGTGGAAGGTCCTCAATGATTTCATTTCTGTAGTTCCTCCAACATAGTTCAGCTTGCAACGTGGAAGGTCCTCAATGATTTCATTTCTGTAGAGAGCGGTCTCCATCGTCACTGCTTGTCCAGATACGAGGAGTGTCCTAGCGGATGGCAAGTTCTCCTAGGGGACCAGAATCAAGTTCTGATGAAAATTAAAAGAAGTACTTCCCAAAGATAACTCAAATTACAAAGTCAGCTTGATTGAGATACCAGACGGCCAAAGGCAAGAAGAAACGGGTGTATTGTCTTCATACCAGGGTCATCATTTTGTTCATAGAAGCTGCACAAGAAGAAAGAAATACCAGAATAGAGGACATCGACCTGTGTGATGTGAGTACAGAGACGTGCATTGACGATAGGAAGAACGATTCATGTGGAAAATACATCATCACACAACGAAGGAAGACGATGAAAACAGGTGTTCGACAAATTACTATGCACAATTTAGTATTCATTATAGTGAATTCCACCGAGTTTCCACACCAAAGCAGCGGTACCGACCATAAGCCCAATAATTAACAAAAATGAAAAAACCAGGACGAGCTGGCCTGGGTTGATACTGAATTTGAATGCATCGGCGGCTTGTTCTTCGGGGGTTCTTCTCACATCCTGGAAAATATTGGTTGGTACAACGGGCTGTCCGAATTTGGTGGTCTTGCCTTCCTTCTCTCCATCCTTGAATGCATCCACCACTCGCTTTCCTCGTGTTCCAGGCTGCACAAATGGACTGGCTGGTCTCACTGGGCTGGCTCCAGGTTGAGCAAAAGGACTGACAGGTTTCTGAGCACCTCCAGCTGCAGCTCCCGTCGTGAACGGGCTCGATGGCTTCGCTGCTGCGGCTCCGGGTTGAGCAAAGGGGCTGGCGGGTTTGGCAGTTCCTGCACCTTGCGTGAAGACGCTGGCAGGTTTCGACACTTTCAGCTGGTCTGCGGCTTTAGGCGAGAGCTGCCCTGCCGGACGAGGCTCCCTTGCACCGATGACGAGGGCTGGCTTTCTCGGGGCAGCTGATTCTTCACTTACGCCTGGAGGCTTGGAATCGACCGCAGTCTGCTTGGTAGCAATCGAAGAAATTTTTCCACCGCTTTTGAAAGGACTCTTCGCACCCGATGCTGATGGAGAAGGGGGCTCTACCTTCGGAGAGTCAGAGCTCGAGGTCGTGGTGGTGATTTCGCCTGCTCCGCTGTCCTTCACACCCTCTTCCACACTAGCGCTCACTGTCACTATCCTCGAGCTTCTTCTCCTAATTACAGACGCATGTCTATCACCGAAACTGGAATTCAAAGGGTGAAACAATCCCACAGGCTCCGCCCTCACTCGGACGCTTGAAATCCCGTTTTTCACACTGAGAGGCGAGCAAGGTCCTCCCACCTGGGAACCCACGGAGATGGACTCATCAATTGCAGCTGTACATCTCCAAGCGCATGTTCCAAATTCACCGCAGCGACTCCAAAATAATCGTTACCTTAGTACAAGAAGTAAATGAGAGCGATTCCAGACAAGAAGCGACTGCAAACAAATTCTGAGACGATTCGAACTGCTTCAGAAGTACCACCTAGCTCGAGGCCATTAACCCGAGAGGCCAGAAATCAAGCATTCAGAAACAGAATTCAGAACGCCGGTCCAGAAGGGGTCCAGGACACTCACCAGCTCGAAGTCGGCTCCGCATTTGGCCTTCCCGAAGCCTCCGAGCCTCACGGAGCAGGCCGGCGAAGCGCATGTGGAAGCGGAAGAGCAGGCGGAAGGCACATCCCTCGCAGCTCCCGTAACACTTCTCACGGGCACCACGGTAGCCATGGCCACCGCCGAGAAGAAGACGACGACGAAGGCAGCGACCACCAACACCGCCCACCACGACGAGGCAGAAGAAGAAGCAGACGAGGTCCGTGTCCGGGGCAAGCTTCAGTGACAGCCGAAGCGGTGGCCCTTCCCTCCCCTTCCCTTCCTTTCCTTCCTGTGCTTGTGATTGTGCTGCTGCTACTGCGGATGTCGTGACGACGGGAACCGATCACCGTTTCGGAATATCGCTTCATCCTGCCAGTTGGCCGAAGCCCGACCCTCGTCTCGGCTCTCGGATAATCGACCGCGTTCACCTGTTTTCCGACAATGGACCCGCTCATATTTCCACGGCATTTGTCCCAACCTCAGAGAGAAAATCTAACAAGGCCGAGGAAACCTCATGAACTCGCCGCTCTAGCGGTACACTTTTATTCCTGCGTATGATTAGTAAGATCTTGTGATTTTTCTCTGGTTTCAAACGAACATCTCATATCATATATTATTGCCTTTTGGTAATGTGCGCGATTATGCTTGTTCAGATGGATAAATTTGTCATGCTAGGAAAGAAGAACCGGCTAAATGAGTTTTTATATTTCCTATCAGTAATAAGATTAAAGACTCAAGGTTATCTCCTTTATACACAATATTCAGATATATAAAAACGATAGTGATATTACGATTGAGATCTTGATTCTAGTTTTTTTGTTACATGACTGGTTTATCGAACAGAATCAAATTCAGATAACGACGAGTTTATTTTTATTCATAAAAATCTATAAGTATAATGTTCTACAAGAAATTTTCACAGAATGTTTATCTATCATTCTATCAATATTTTAAATTTTATCAATATTTATCCATTGTAATTTATAATATATATCTTTCGTTTATACACATAGATTCCATTTAACAGTTTTGATCTAAAATTCATAAATTGGCATCAACATAAGTGTAAATTTCGTTACATATTATAATTAAAAAATCATTTCATTTCTAATAGTTAGAAAAATACCATTTTTAAATATTTAGAGTCAATATTGGTGTAATTCTTCTTTTTCCATATAAAAGTACGCTTAATTGAAATTTATCATTTGGAATCGATTTTTATTATACATAATTGAGACACCAATTTTTCCATAGTATTCATAATTGACCTTTAAAACATAAAAGTCCATATACATTTTAAAAAAATGGCGTGAAGACCCATCAACAAACCATCAACAAACCAAAGAAAGGGAGACCAATACTAGTTCCCAATAGCATGGCGATAGAAATATATAATACAACATATACTAGGTACGGTGGTGGCCAGTGCTATTCGTATAACAATGTAAATATATAGTCTGAAATAATTTTGACATAAGGTTAGAGAAAAGTATACACCGTGCAATCGGTCTCTAACTTATCTTAGTAATGGCTTTTATATATATATATATATATATATATGCTGAGGAAAAAAATTTGATGTCTCTTTATACATGTCGACTACTGGAGTTACCCTCACCGTCGATGCATGAGCGAGGCATAGGTAATTGATAAAGGTCATATCTATCAGAAATACTGCCGAGTGTCTACGAAAATAAATCGATCGATTATTTATAAAACTATGTGTACAGAGTATTCGAGTTTGGGGTCCGCAAATTGCCCTTCGCCTTCACAGAAACGAGGAATCTCGTTCCGCTGATGCAAAATATGAAAATGTAAGTGGACGGCGCTCGGACGCGTGGTCCGGGTCTCGTCCATCTTCCGGACCCAATATTCGTGCGGGTGGGGACGAGTGTCTATCAATCCATGGATGCGGGCCGATTGCTCGACTGTAGTGCAGGATTGTGTGTGTTCCGTCGATGGAACGCGCAGAGAGCTGAGTTTGATGTGGTGAGTCGCGCTTTGGCCCGTTTGATTTCGCATGCGTCCATGGGCGACGGTGTCGGAATTGTTTCAGCCTCAACTGAGCTCTCGAGTGCGGGTTGTTTCTTCCGTCCAGGTTTTTGCCTCCGAGTGCTGGCAATGGTAGTCCTCCGGTGTTGCCTTCGGCTTTCGTGGTCTCTCCTTTGGTGCCTCGCTGGTGGCCATGGTCTCGTGCTGCCTCGGAAAACCTCTTCGGGTTCCTTCACTGATGTGCTCGCGTGTTCCCTCCTCGAGCGCTTCTCCTCCGTCGGGCTTGAAGCTTCTATCCGACCCGGAGCATTTGCAGAGCTCTAGAACAATCCATTTGCCGGGCCGAATTTGAGCTGGTAAGTTCATGGATGCCTCTCTTGCTCTCTCCTGTTCCTTTCTTTTCTTACATTAAAGCTGAATAGCTGGTTTCGTTGCGGCCTGAAGCGATCACGCCATCAGGATGTTGCAGATCAGTGTGCATTTCTATGTACTCAAAATCTTGTTCCTGCTACTTTCGGAGTTGTTTTTTTTCGATTGCCGGAGCAGGGTTCTGGGACTGTCTGAAATCTATGAGTGTCCAAAATGTTAGCAGAATAATGCCCTTGCGAATGGTGTGGGTAGCAAATTTTTTATTTTACAAAGAAGAGCATAGCCCATCTGTCTCTCATGAACTAAGTCTTAGTGTTATAAATACCAAGTGGAAATGGAAACCGAAGTGGGTAGTACGACAAGACATTTGTCCTGTCAAATTTATTATTCTATATTTTCTACCAACTACAAAACTCAGAATGCCGCTTACATATAGGCCGATCCTCTGTTGGTTTGACGATTGTTGTTTTATGCCAACTCTCGTTGACTTTTTTCCTATTATTTTCGTCTCGTTTATTCTTCCCTTGGCCTCTATCTAGCCTTTGCAAGTTTTCTCATCCCTGCATTGAGTTTTTGCTTTGATTTTGTTCCGGTGTGCGCTACGAGTATATCTGTTTTTTTCTGAAGGAGTGGTGTCATCCTTTCCACTCAGTGCTGCATACATGCTGTAGTTTCAATTTCTTCGTTTTACCACTATACTGTCCGACGTCCAGCCTCACATACTTCTCGAGCGGTCGCTTCTCCGTGTTTTTCCTCCGTACTCATATGTAGTCCGTTCCAGACATCTTCCCGTACATGTATCGCTGCTTAAAATAAATTCAAATATATTTAATTTCTTCCCAACTATTTTTCTGCTTCTCACTTTTCTTACTTATTTTTTTAGGATGGAGCCGGTCATCTTAATGATATAACCTTTTAACTATGAGTTCGATGGAGATAACCATGAATATACAATTTTCTTCATTTCGTCCTTCCGTGCGAAAAGAACTTCACTTCAATGTGGTTTCCTTCGTTTCTCGACCGTCTATGGTTTGCTTTTGTTCGAAAAGTCGGAGTGGAAAGAAAAGAGCCAGTTTCCATGCTGCCTCCGTAATACTTCAAGTGGATCGCGCAAGATTGCAAGATCTTCAGAAGTTGCATCGAACGCAAGCTAGGCTTCTACCACAAGCTGTGATTGAAGAGCTATATCAACGGATTAAAGCCAACCAATGGAAAGAAGCCTTGAAGGTTTTTGAGTTACTGCGCATGCAAGAATGGTACGAGCCCAAGCACGAACAGTATGTCAGCGTTCTGACAATGCTGGCAAAAAACAGACAGCCCGAACATGCTGAAGACATCTTAAGAACGATGCTGGAGGAGAAGTTACCACCTTCAGTCGAAGCTTACACCGCTTTGCTGTCAGCTTTCGTGGAATTCGGGGATCTAGACAGAGCCGTATCCATATTCAATGATATGAAGACACAGGGAGATTGTCCTCCTGATGTATACACCTATTCGAAGTTGATTGATGGATTCTGCAGAGCAAAGGAGCTGTCCAAGGCTTTGGAGTTAGTGGAGGAGATGGAGCGCAATGATGTTCCTGCAAATACAGTAACGTACAATGCGATCCTCAAAGCTGTAGGGGAGACGGAACCTCTTGAGGTGATGGAAGATATTTTTGAACACATGATGAAGAGCTCTACGTGCCCTCCCGACAATTGGTCATTCAACATTCTGCTCAAAGCCTTGGGAACGCGAGGAAGTATAGAGAAGATGGAGGAGTGGTATCTCAGAATGAGTGAAGTCGACGTCGCACCGAACATCGTGACGATGAACACCCTGATTCATTGCTACGGCCTTCAGCAGCACTTTCACAAGATGGAGAGGGTCCTAAACCACATGGATAGAATGTATTTTTCGTGCAACGAATTTACATACAATTCCATGATAAGAGCTTATGGGAACGCGCAAAGAATATCAGACATGGAAAGGATGTACTTCGTCATGAAGCAGAGCGGAGTTAAACCCACAGCCTACACTTTAACATTGATCATCACTGCTCTTACGAAGGCTAGAATGTGGCACAGAATCGAAAAGGTTCGTAATGAGTGGACAAACTCTGACTTACGCCCCGACGTCTACCTATACAACGCCCTGTTGAATGCGTATGCTCAGTCCGAAAATCTTCATATGGTACAGGAGACATTCGAAGAGTTGTTGCAAAACGTGGAGCCCGACGACGTCACAGAGTCCATTTTGGCTAGAGCTTATGAGGGTCACGGCCACAAGAGGTTGTCGGTCTCGAAAAAAGATAATGCGAATGACTTGTAAGCTCATAGTGGCTTCGCCACTGTGAGTTGGATACGCAGGCAGGCTCTCAATGCCCACTGAAGATCATGTGAAAATCTTTTGAGGTCAAAGTTGTTATTCCTCCAGAGTCATGTCATTTTGTTCCAGGTGATGATCTATAGGCCATCAGGTTGTCAAGTGCTTCCGACTTTGATACTCAAAAACTGTGTATAGTTTAGCGCTTTAGAGAAGACCCTGTGATTCAATTGTTGTAGATTTTCTTGCATAGTTCGACATATACTTGTAGCTGAGCTCAGGCTGGGTTGCCATGTTTGCTGAGCTTGGTCCTGTTACTTCAGGGCCATAGTGGTGGCTTTTCCCATCCTACGCAAACCGGCATCATTTTAAACCTCTGGCTTTAGTTTCCTTCTGCGCCTATACTCTATCAATTGGCTCGGTCCATGTCAATTGGTTGTACGTCACTAACCGTGCCGTTTCCTTCTTGTAAAGTTTTAGGCTTTACAAGAGATTAGAAATTAAGTCATTGGATTGTTGTTACGCACTGGAGCCCGCATTGTATGTTTCTCCAATGTAAGGTTGGATATGAGTTTCTTTCAATACTTTGGATAGTTGTCCACATTGTCAGAACATTTTGGAAAGCAGCTGCTCTAGGGATTCTTGTGAATTGTATTACAAACCTGAGATACCTTTTCGAGCATCTAATTTGTTTGTTCATGTTCCTTCTTGTATGTGACGTAAGGGTACCACTTAGTTTTTATATCTTCTAGTCTCCTGTGGTCGGTGGATTGCTATTGCTTCTACCTCTGAATGTACACCCGGTGCGAGATACATGCATGAATATGTTGTTCACTAACGTAAAGTGAACAACGATTTCACGATTTCTTCTGTACGGGTTCTAAGTTCATATTCACGACCTAATGAAGTGTTCACTCCCATCGTTTAGAGTTCGAGTTTTTTGTCACTGCTTGTGGTGGATTGCGTCTGTATCTAATTTCGTGTAACATATGGTCATGATAGTTTAAGTCTCTATAATCGCTGATGTAATGGCGGTGTCAACGTCGCTATTTCAAACTTGTATCATATATGTCTCCAGACATGTACATGGTTATGCTGGCACCAAAGATTCACTCTCTCCTTCCGTACTGCTCCATTTCTTGATGTTCATTATCAGTATTCAGAAGTTGTCACTGTCCTCACTCAAGCTCAAAAAGTATGCGATAGGTATTCTCATCGCGTTGATTTTCATTCACAATGTGGATCTTTGCAATAATCCACCGTAAGTGCACAGTATCGTCGTTTTGGTGCATGTTTTATGGGCGTGAGACCTTAAACCTAAGCTTGCATTAAACACCATTGCAAGTTTAATTCACTAGATCGTTTCTAACATGTGTGTCCACCTTACCATGTTCTACTTGCTTGTCGTCGAAAGCTCCATCCTCACCTTAAGCGCCTAATCCTGCTTTGAGCTCTTACCGAGTTAACTCGAGATAGTGATGCTTTCGTACATATTCCTCTCTGTTTACATCTTACATCTCCTAGCTACCATCCCTCAGTCTGAGGAAATGTCGCTACATACATATTCATCTGTTGCCCACTTTGTGTGGCGCTGGACACAATGCAAATCGAAGGAACGTTATGGGGTTCTTTCTGCAAGCTTATATGGTCAGAACGAAATCTACAGCAACATGCTCTGTGCAGACAAGGGAATTCCTGATCATGTCAGTAGTGCAGTAAAAGAGAAAACATAAAATAAACAAAAGACACAGTACTGCACTTAAACTTGGCAGTTGAGTTGAAGAGTACATGTACTGTGATATACCGTCCTGTCCTGAGCTGAGGACTCAGGACTAAGTGCAAGATTAGTGCAAGATCTTCATACCGTGAATAAGCCCAGGGTACTTTCTCCAGAAGGAGGGAACCGTCCGCGTCTTCAGTACAGTACCGGAACAGGAGTTTAAAAGGGAAGAAAATGTGGTGATGGATGGTATTTATTCAAGGATAATGGAACTGTTGTACCTATGTAGTCCTGAACATCCATAACTTTCTTCTCTGATGAGAGAAATGTGGGTTAGTTCCTGCTGAGGCCGAACTGTAAAGAGGATCTACATTCTGAGAAGAAGGAACGTTCAAAGGAAGTAAAGAAGTAGCACTCGTGGTTGGCAGTTTTATATTTCACGTTGCGTGTTTTCAGAAATTAGTGACTGTATTCAGAGCATAAATGCGCAATTCGGTGATTGCATTGTTGCTGTTTCACAAAGCTTGCGTTTGCGAATTCGTTGTTGTGGATTCAGTAGAGCAAAATGTGCGTGAGTCAAGATATACAATACTCTTCTTCTGTTTGTTTCTAAGTAACTGCTCCCAAATATCGAGGATAAGCAGATGTGGAAGGTGCAGATTTTTGGGGGAATGATGCAGACCTGACGTCCTCGAAGCATTGGGCAAACAAGTAGGCGAGCTGATTGAGGCGAGCGGATAAACCAACCCGAAAGCAATCTTTCACTTCCTCTTGCCAAGCCACAATCCACAGGTGTTCGAGAAAATGCGAAGACCAGGAGCAAAGAAAGGTGCCAGTAAAACACTGTGTTTAGAAGTGCAAGTAGAATCACAATGTCGTACATACCAGGTACACCAAGAGCTGGAGAAGAATCCAATGCTCCATGGAACCCCTGGTTGTGGTTCTAGCTGCTAGCCTTACCGCAAAGCGAGTTCCATGGCATGCGACTCCGGGAACCCAGCACTGTGCGGGTTCCCTCCTGGAAGTCGCCATGGATCGAGTCGATCTGGCAGAGCTAGCCGTGAGGGAATATGGTGAGGGAATATCTGGGCTATGCCATGGAGTTCGTATGATTACACCAGGGGGAGCCGGTGGGCAGGGAATCCGGAAACCGACTCGGCAGAGCCCAAAAGGGAAAAATCAGAAGGACAGAATTGCGCGAGAAGCTTGCCATCTGTTAGAGGGTATAATATATTCAACGGAGACAGATGCCTGTCGTGCGCAGATGACTATGCCTGTGCTGATTTGGACTCAGAAGGCACCGGCTCCAGTTGCGGCAGCTGCAAACTTGTCGTACACTTGGACTGCTGCACGAGTGAGCCAACTCTCTTACGCTTACGCTGCGAATGACTTTGCGTTATTTCCAGGCCGCTACTGCCCCAAATCCCGACTCAGGCTGCAGAGGAAGATAGAAGGAAGCAAGGGGAAGGGCAGAAGATAGAGAGAAAGGAAGGCACAGCTGAGATTGAAGGAAGATTGAAGGAAGGAACCCAATCAATCAAGCAAGCAAGCAAGCTCGATTATAAGGCAGAAGGTCTCGAGATCTGGTATGTTACAGGAGGCTGAGGTGGGCGGCGAGGGCTCGTGGTTGCACACGCTCGACACAGGAAGAAGTGTTGGCTCTGGATAATGGAAACGCAGTCGGACCTCGAGGCGCCTCTGTTGGTCGACAGCTCTACAAAAGCAGATCTGCACAGCGCGAGCACGAGGAGTAGTCGGCAGCGGGGCAAGGAGCAGCATGGGCACGAGCGCAAGGTGTCGGACCTGGGTCGATGGAAGTTCAACTATCAACGATACATCACGGAGAATTTGTTTGCGGAAGCCGATCATCTCACTGAAGGACAGCGGGAATATAATAGGAAGCAGAGGGAAACTCTGGCCGGATTCGAGGAGGTGGATTCGCTGGAAAAAGGCCCCAAAGATTTGGACGATGCAGCCGAGGAATCGAAAGACCGAGGCGTCGAGTTCGCCATCAACATTTCGAACATTATGAATGTCATTCTGCTCGTGGTGAAAATTTACGCTTCAGTGCAGAGTCGGTCGCTGGCCATCGTGGCCTCCACGTTAGACTCGCTGTTGGATTTATTAGCAGGAATGGTGCTCTGGTTCGCGCACTCGTCCATGCAGAGCAAGAATCAGTACAAGTTCCCCATCGGCAAATTACGAGTGCAGCCCGTGGGCATCGTGGTGTTCGCCGCCACCATGACAACGCTGGGCGTGCAGGTGCTGGTGACGGGAGTGCAGCAGCTGACAGAGGGCGATGCGGGCAGGACTCTGAGCGCCGAGCAGAGGAACTGGCTCATCGTCATCATGGGATCCGCCATAGCAGTGAAGCTGGCGCTCTACATCTACTGCCGCACGTCCGAGAGCGAAATCGTGCTCGCCTACGCGCAGGACCACTTCTTCGACGTGGTGACGAACGTGGTGGGGCTGGCGGCCGCGCTGCTGGCCGATCGCTTCTTCTGGTGGCTGGACCCAGTGGGCGCCATCTTCCTGGCCCTGTACACCATCATCAACTGGGGCAAGACCGTGCTCGAGAACGCCATGACGCTCGTCGGCCAAGCGGCGCCCACGCAGCTCCTGCAGAAGCTCACCTACATGGCCTTCAACCACCACCCGCAGATTCGCAAAATCGACACCGTCCGCGCGTACACCTTCGGCAATTTCTACTTCGTGGAGGTGGACATCGAGCTGCCCGAGGACATGCCTCTGGTCGAGGCGCACAACATCGGCGAGAGCCTGCAGAACAAGCTCGAGACGCTGCCCGAGGTGGAGCGCGCCTTCGTGCATTTGGACTACGAGTCCACTCACACGCCCGAGCATTTGACTAAATAGCTTCGGAATTTATTGAATTAAATTTTGCTCTGAATCGCCAGGCCAGGTCCTTAGATTGGACAGACGGACGGTCGGTCGCTCGATCATGCATTCTCAAAGCCAGACCTCCTCCGGTGTCCTGATCGGCGCCCCCGTCCCACCCTGTCCTCCTTTGCATTGTAAGCTCTATGAAATCTCGTCCTTTTGTTCTGTCTACTCGTCGCATTCCCGTCTCGCCTCCATTGTTTCTGTTTGTTCGTGCTCGACGAGAAGCTTCCTCAAGTTTGACCGGGTCCACGAACACTCGCTCGCCTGCATCGCCCGGGGCTCCAAGGCCACGACGAGAAGCAGTCTCCGAGTTCAGGGTACGGTGCATTCTCCCGAAAGCAGATTACAGAATCTTTCATCTCAGAGTAAGAAAGACTCCCATTTAATCTAGAAGCTGAATGGTCGCTTTATCTCCTCATGGCTTCACCTGAGACTGGCGCGAGCAATCTCATCGCAGTCGGGCAATGGAGCCCCGAAAGAAGTAAAACATCGATCATTTGCAGCGAATTTGCCAAAGGATTCCGAGCTGGAACAACGCCCTCCAAATGCAGGCAATTGCCGTATTTCGATGGCCTGTGTAGTCGGCAGGTGTGGGTGGTTCGGAAGACGAAGGTAGACTGCGATCGAGCGATTGCAGTTTGGAGCCCTGAATCATGCTTACACAAACAGAGCTAATTAATCTGCATTCCGCTGATGAAGAGCATGAAGTTTCGACCTTCCAAGGTCCGAGGAGGTTCGAAGAGTTCACAGTTGTGGGTGTAATACGTGTGCACCTGCCGTGTCGATGTGGCATGGAGAGGTGGACATGGTGGAGACCACGCGAATATCTCATCGAACCCAAATGTCATCCCAGATTCACCAGATTCAGGGCCCAGCACATGGCGTACTCGTTCGGTGCTCGCTCGCTACCTTGCTCCACACGCCGACTCGTCTTCTTTTCCTCCGTTCTGCTGGAATACTGGCCAGATTTCCTGCCCCTATCTATCCGCAGAATCTGTGCCTTGTTCTGCCCCCAACACTATCGGCAGACAATAATTTCTGACACCTTCGATTCTTCTGAAAACAAAGAACGCACCTCTGCTATAGACTTGCACAACTAAAACTCGCATCTTTATATTTTTCTGCCGAAAGTCGAGTACGGATTTTTTTCAGAGGTTGTGGAAAGAAGCATTGAATTGTTGTTCGATGAACTTGAATTATTTAGCGAATGTTGCTTTCATGTTATAGTGCTACAATTAACACTGTAACATGAAAGCCAACATTCGCAACTTTCCACTCTTTCGGAGCTGTGAATGACTGCCTGGCTTTTCTCGAAATATTATACATGACAATGAAATTCAAAAGTTATTAAGTCGCTTATAATTGATATTATTTTAAATATACTCTGTTAACCCTACAGGAACACATTTGTGACAGTTAGCAGAGGGCGAAAGAAGTTAACGAAATAATATTCAGCAGACGTTCTGCGTCGCTTCTCCATGGCCTTGCCGAATCTCCTTCGAAGTTTCGAACAACAGTCGTGAGGCCCTGGTTATTTCCAAAGGATTCAGACCCTGGTGTCACCGAGGCTTAGATTTTGTAAAGGCTGCTGGATTTCTCAGGCTTAACTAGGAACTGCTCTCAGGGTTATAGGCATGGGAACACGTGCCTACTCATAACAAGAAACAACAGCAAATTATTATAAACATGACTATTGACCTCTCTCTGAAAAACTAGGGAACACATCCATTCGCCTAGCTTTTGGCCTTTAAATGACGACTCAGCTTCTATATCACCTGCACCTGGTCCACAGTGACGGCATGGCATGAATGTCCGCCCTTTTCAGGCCCGTCGTCACAGATGTCCCAGCTTCCAGAATTGCAGAAAGTCAATTTGGACGTAGTGCACGAGCTCATATATAGTCGTGATTTAGTGAAGGGCTCTTCTTCCAACAGAATTCGTTGGCTTGATGCGGTCCGCCCAGAGGCGTTGATCGAGACAAGGCAAGATGGAGGCCGCGAGCACCAAGCCTCGGGATACAAGGCTGAATGATGTCCGATTTGATGGACTGGCTCGCCCCCTAGCTCGCCTCGTTCGCTCGCGGCATGAGCTACATCAATCTACAAGTCTGTCCCCACAAGAGTGAATCAACTGGCCCCTCCGCTCCCCTTTTTGCAAGAATTATAAGCACCACAACTCGTGGATAGTATCAATATGGTGCCTCAAATCGTTCAAACGTGGAACACAGGGAGCAAGAAGCCAAGAATGAAAGACGAGATCCACAACCAGCCTTTGGTGAGAAATGACCTGAAGCCAGGTCCAGAAGGTTCATTAATCACAAGTCATCTTCTTTGGAGACTGTGTATATCGTCAAACGTCGGACCCGGTGGAACTGCTAGGAATTGCCAAAAATTGCAGACCTGAATGACGATTTCTTGGGTCACACCCTCCTGTAATACACCCTCCTGTAATAAATTGTCCTGCAGATTTAATTTGTTATTTTTATTGCTTCATTCGTTATTGCTGAAATCGGTGCCTTGACTATGATGAGAAGAAGGGAAGCAGCTGCGTCGGAGGCCAAATCTGGAAAAGAATGTGTTGCAAAGTGGGCCAGACTTGGTACGAAAGGGAGGGAATGAATCGTGTCATTAACGAAGGTGCAAACCTCGTCCCTCTGAATCCCAGAAGGAAAACAAGGAAGACCACATCATAGAACACAAACTCTTCAGAGCTAAACATATTTCCAGTTCATGCATGCAAGACGTTTTATGAACAGCAGGGCGAGTTTCTCAGTCCAAGAGCATATCCATCAAATGCCGGGAACATGCTGCAACCTCTGGCAATCATGTTAGCGATCTCACTCGAATAGAGCCTACTAATGACAGGCCATGAATCCTCGTCGTCGCGTTCCAGGTCTCGAGTCGGGACTCCATCGTGACGATTTTGACGATTCGTCGCGCAGGACTCGCGGTCGGTTCGGTCCACCGTTGGAAGATATGAATCTACGTGGAAGGTAGAGGTTCCCGGCAGATTCACCAGCTGGCAGTTCCGAACTGTTGGGGACGTTGAATCTCTCAGGAGATTCACGTGGCTCGCCACGCAAGCCCTCCAACCGAGGCATGACGACCTCCAGCGGAATCCGTCCAAATTCAGTATCATGACTTGGGGCCCTCTCCCTTCGTTCGTCAGGCAAAGGCACAGGACGAAAGGTCGGCCTCAGGCAGTGACTTTAACCTGTACTTTAACTTTAGGTCGGGTGTCATCTGAGAGAGTACAAGACAGCTTGAAATTACTTGGCTCAGACAAAAGTAACTGTCCTTTGTCCCTTTTTGGATATTGCCACCGTGTCCTCACTGTATTACGGAAAATCTTGATAATTAGATAAAATCTCCAGATGAGTTCTCTTCTTCACTATCAGAACATTACACAATTCATTCATTGGTTAATTTTGTTCTCATATCCTTCTAAAGCAACAATATTGTTAATCATGTCGGAAATTGACTGAAGTGATGACCATAGACTGCCCGAGCAAGAGCTGTATAGCGATGTGAACCAGCTTTCTGCCATAAAATCTCACAATGGGCCTTTCTTAGATTTCAGACTAAATCCAACCGGACCTTATACCTTTTCCACCGTTTGGGTCTCGCCGTTACGGAAACTGTTCAGGCGGACGGAGTGATAAGTCAGTAGGTGGAAATTGACTGCAGTGAGCGAGAGGAGTCGGGCGGACGGAGTGCTAAGTCAGTCGGTGAAATTGACTGCAGTGAGCGAGAGGAGTCGGGCGGACGGAGTGCTAAGTCAGTCGGTGAAATTGACTGCAGTGAGCGAGAGGAGTTGGTCTCGAGACGAACGAGCCGACAGCTTTTGGATTTCCCATCTCGTCTCTTCTCTCTTTGGTCGTCTATATGAATCCTCGATATTTTTGTACGCTATTTTTTTTCTCTCCAACTTATAGGGTTCATAGTTCTGAGCATAGTCCGGTTGATGGTTCTTTCTTTAAGATTTCACAATATATTGGGACAATCAAATTGGCCATGGCATGAAGTTGAAGACTTCTTCATATATGAAAAAGACACGTGCAAACACTGAGAACCGCATAGGCAATATAAAAAACAGTTTCTTGAATCCAAGAAAAGATTGTCTTTGTTTCTTTGTATTTGGCTCAAAGGACTTTTCAACTTCCCTGTAAACTAACCGAGCGAGTCATGAATGTATAAAGAGCAACTCTCACTAGGCGAACTGTCATGTAATTGTCAGAAGTCATTGGCGTTGATGAATGAGTACCGTGAGGTTCTTCACGATGATTCCAGGACTTACCCAACTGGTATCATGCTAAGGAGAAGAGAAGCTATTTTTTATTTACTTGTTTTGAAAACATCTGTTGTTGAAATGCAAGTCTAATCCATAATTCAATGCACATTGTCTATGAGATGCTCGGTTTTTTTTACAAACTAAAAAAAGTGCGTTTACAGTCTTTTACAACTACATCTCGCTTCGAAATATTGAGTGTCTTAAAATCAAATTTTAAATTGTAAACACTCAATGATTTGTTTGTGTGCTCACTACTAAAATCGACTTCACCATTCACTACAATCAGAAAATCAGTGGTAGCCATTTTTGAGTTGAAAGCTTGTATCTTGATCTGTGAGAGGATATAGTCTTTGTTTCTGGATTCTGACATTGTATAACAATAGAGAACCTTTTTGAGTTCTGCAACGAAAAGAGGATGAGACTTTCGATCGAAAAAGTTACACATCCAAAAATACAGATCCAAAACTTTGGAAAGACCCTGTGTTGAACTTGTGGGCGGCACATATCCTTATATTGTGTTGAGTTTTGTGAAGTGAACTGTTCTGCAAACACAAGTGAATTGGACTGTGTTGTGTTCTGTGAAGTTAAGTGGTTTGTCACAACACAAGTGAACTGTACTGTGTTGTGTTCCAAAATTGCAACCAAAATACTAAGCTAATATTTTGGTTGCAATCACCTATTGCAATCCTTTTTATCGAACTATTGTGAAGACTTTAGTTTTATTAGGTCATTAGGTTTTTAATCCCGAATGTTCCACAGGGGCATAGTGGGGTTTTTTTCTACTCAGCACAGTGCCGCGCTGAGTTCTGCAACCTTCGAACTGCCACTTGTCGCACGCTATCATGGAGAAGAACTAGAATCACGATAGCTCCAAGGGGAGACGAGGGATTTCTTTTTTTGCCGTGTCTTCAATGCAAAGGGACATTCATCGCGTCTTCTCATCGACCGCAATGCAACGACTCTGTCACCACTTGCTGACGCTCTTGAATCGAAATCAGTACACCGTTGTGGCCTACTTTCGCCGGTGCACACTCCTGTTGACAACGGGATTTTCCCCGAAGACTCGCAGGTTTGCATCCTTTTTCTCTTTGATACTTTCTTTCCTTCTACTCATCTTTTACCGCTAATGTACATTATTGCTCCGCATCCACATTCAATAATTTGTTTTAGAATAAAAGTTGGATTCTTTCTATGAAGATAGTCAAAGTATTCATCTCAGCACAAACAGTAGACCACGAATTCCGAGCCCATACTAATGTACTAAAAGTACAAGACCTCCGCCTAAGAAACTAAATGCTACAGAATCCTTGATGAATGAAGCTTAGTTTCAAAGCCAAAGAAGTTTCACATGTTCAACGTAACTTCTACAGGCATTTCAACTTCAGTGTAATCGTTCTAGAGGATAGTCAACATCAACAGCAACATCGTACCGTTTCTGTGCACCCCCCGCTTTGGCATCTACAAATTGCTCGGACCTCGCTCACTATCTTTAATTGTCACATCGAGTGCGTGACTGCGTAGGTGATTGTGGATTGCGTTCAGTAAACCGAACGCAATGCGCAATCACGTGCACAGTCACGATGCTTGAGCAGCGAACGATAGTTGGCCGCTCATGTTTTGCACGGGATGAGTGGAGAAATCCGATACGGTAATGGTCTCTTCTCTCTCGATCAATATTAAGTTGGAGTCATGGAAACGTTTGTGATTAAACTTCAGGCTGCAAAAAGTTTCTTGTGATTGTAGAGCCTATTGTCTACTTATGGTAATCCTTGTCTTGTGGTGTGTACAACTGTGATTATCAGAAAAGTTACTGCTCTGCTCTGATTTGGGAAAGTTTGTTGCGTACTTTCTCTTGCCTGACAGGCTTAGAATTGCCTTCGCATCTCGGAGCAGCACTTTCTAGTTTTTTTTATGGGCTAACTTTTCTGATTCCTATTACATTTTGACGGAAGAGAAGTTAATTGATATGAGCAGAATGTTGTTACTTTCGGGATTAGCCATTTTTTGTTATTTCATTAAGTACCTGGGTCTATTATTCATTTATCTAAACCGAAACATTCTTCTTGGATATGGAGATAGATAAATTTTGATTATCACTTATGGCTCGCTCAGGATCTTTGCCACATAGAATTTGTCACCTTCAAGCTACGTTATTTATATGATCAGAGGTAGATACCGCACTTGTACGACGACTCATCACCGTTTTTTAATCTGACAAATGAGCAGTTTACTCTCCTCAGATAGTAACGGTAGTGCACTGATCAGTCTGGTCTTGCTCTTTTCAGGTATTTGAATCCAACTTTTGGATCTTTACTAAAAAAAACATTTGCAAGTCTCATGAATTTGCGATAGCTCGTGATTCCATGAAAGAAAGCGTACAACAAGTAACGGTTTCAAGGTCAGACTTCAGCGTCTAGTAGTTCTGGTAGAAAAAAGCCACACAATGCACTCTGGAGCTATGAGGAGTGAAAGTGACCCATGGTAGTCGAACTAATGTCTACACCTTGTGTACTATAGTTTGATGAGAAGGATTCATGAGTGCGAGCTGCAGTTGGACAAAGTTCTGAATAGCCGATTGCGTAGAAATATTAGCTCAGTATTTCGACGCGAGCTATAGTTGGACAATGGTGTCAATAGGTGATTGAATAAAATATCGTCTCAATATTCAACGCAATCTGTTTGGTTTATCGAAAAATTCTAGCATCGTAGAGAGCGTGTGTTTTGTATAATGGTTAGACTTGCATTTCAATTAGCAAGTAGTTATGAAGCAAGTAAATAAAAATGGCCTCTATTTGGAGCATGTGACGAGTTGGGTAGATACAGAATACTGGGTGAAGAAATTCTATCACGGACTTCATTCATCAATAAAGCAAAACGCCAATGAATTTTGACAATTACATAACAGTTCGCGTAGTGAAAAATTGCTCTTTATACATTCATGATTGGCTTGGTTAGTGTACATAGAAGCTGAAAAATCCTTTCAGCCAAATACAAAGAAACAAATACATTATGTTTTTGGATTCAGGACATCGTTTTTTATATTGCCCATGCAGTACTCGAACTGTAGCAGAGTCTGCACGTTTCTTTTTTATAAATGAAGAAATCTTCAACCTCATGCCATAGCCAATTCGATTGTCCCAATATATTTCAAAAATCTTAAATTAAAATCAATAACCTGACTACGCTTAGATTTATCAACCCAAAGCAGAGTTTGTGAACAACTTAAATAAATTGTTGACTCTCATTTTATCATCTTAAAAATATGGGCATAGATGAATTTAGGATTTAATGTCCTTAACTCGGAAAGCATCATCATTCAGTATATAATATGTTTTTGTGTAGAAAGAAGCTTTGTTATGCTAATTACTTTTGTCGGAGATGTCAGGAACCTTCACGCCGAGGACAAGTAAGGAACGAAGAACTTGAATCTTGTGTTATTCTCTGATCACCGCACATCTTAAAATATACATCACTTATATCAAAGCAAATAAAGATATGTTGTCATGATTTAACAATCTTGAGATTTATTTTTAATAGTGACATGACGATAAATAGTAACTTACATTTTTACATTCTTAAACCTGCTAAGTTTTTGGAGATGACTTTGTATTTACGCTACTTCTCCCACATTTCATTATACCTTAATCATACTAATCATTGAAATCACTAAGAACCAATGTTATGACATCAGAAAAAAAAAGCCTGAGCATAATTGTTGTATATTGTTGAAACGTCGGACCAGAATTTTGCAAAATGCTACCTCTGTCGCACGCATATATCACTCTCCACTACTAATCACACATGCAATCCAAAGAGTATATTCTCAAATGAAGATCTTAGATATTATGATTCGGAGTGTTGAAACATATTTGAATCATAACTAAAGGCGATAGAAAAACTGAAACCACATTTTTAAACAAAAATGATCATAACTGATCAAATACATTTCTAAAACCTCAGACATCCTATCATAGTTTCATGAAAGTCAAATTAGAAACAAAGCAACAAGACAACAATATGGTACATCAAAGCATGTACTGCATATTTTCATATCAAAGTAATTTGGAGCTTTGCGGAAGTGTGGTGGGGTCGAACTGGGGCGGGAGTCGAAGAGGCGAAGACGGAGGGCGATGCCAACGGAATGTCGGAGTTTCGGACGCGGTCGACGATTTCCTCTGAATTTCAAATGCCGCGAGTTCTGGCCGATGAAGCTGTGCTCCGAGGAACTGACACTCGTCGAATGCCGCTCAATTCGGCCATTGCCTCCGTCATTTGCAAGCGGCCGTCACTCAATTCTTGGTCTGAAGCTGGAGGCAGGCTGCAGCCACTGGGATTCAATTTGTTCTATAGCTCCGAGGGTTGACCCACCCTGCATTTTCTGGTTTTGGGAGAGCCAGAGAGACGGGCATCCATTTTCCGGGATGGTTTTGAGTACATCGGCGGACAAAGTTATGGTTTATTGAACTTCTCTTCCGCTGTCGTCGCTTAGATGTTCAAGAGTGGAGCCCTCTGCGTTCCATGATCTTTCCTCGTTGAGGCATTCTGGTTTGGAATGGACTAAGTCCTGGTCAAAGAAATGGAAGAAGCTGACGCATCCGAATTCGACGGTTGTACAATCTTTGAGTTCTGTAATGATCCTTTGGCTAGATGGCCTCTCAGGCTCGATATATCACGTGGAGAAGGTTACCTGTGGGAAACATTTCTGGACACGACAATGCCGATGGTTGAGACGGGAGAGGCATGCCTTAACAGTGCTGTAGAAGAGCAATAGTCGCAATGGTTAGGCAACCAAGTCGCAAGAGAGCAGGTATTGAATGAGCGGAATTGGAAAATGATCTCACTGCTCAGTCCCGGAAACTGTGACAAGAAAAGCTCTCTCGGGCGAAAGTGTATCAAAGCGTAAACTTTCCTACTTTGTGGATGTTGCAACTGTCAGGACTCTCCGTCTTCAGGTAGAGGGAGTATCGTGGCTGGAGTTCAAGTCTTGAGCTCAATGGAGTTCAGAGAGAGGGGATCAGGGTCCCCTTGCGCACAGTTTTCATGACTTGGCAGCTGCTGATATGATGCTGACTCGATGTTCCCTGTTATCTGGTAAGGATCACTTTTTTCAAACACCTGTCATCTTTCACCTTTCAAGTGCAAATCTTGCACGATACTCAGATACTCAGCTTCTACGTTCTTCATGCGTTCAGAAATCTTCCCCTTTAGTGTTCATGCGTATTGCTTAAATGCTTAACCTCGATTCGGGTGGCGCAATTTTTTTCCAGTATGAGTGTGGTCTCCAGTACTGAAGGAACTCTCAGATTACCGTGGTTCCGGCTTTCTTAATCGAGAAGTGGAGATATAATGGAAATGGTTTCACTTCTTTACGTTAGAAATGTCTCTAGTATATATCCAAAGCAAAGGAGAAGAGTTACCAGTCATACTGAAACAACTCAAGTAACTCATTCTAGAGTTCTTTGACCTTGTTCTGGTTTGGCTCCTTGTAGTACTTGTGTTGGACCAGCTCAATTTCCGATCGTCCTCCTGCCCTTTATGTATTCTGATGAAGTTTGGCTCATTTCATAGGTGTAAGAGTGTAGTGACCGGTAGCGAGAGCAGTGGAACAGTTCCCTGAGATACCTTTCTCTTCAAACCTATCGACGTAATTGATTTATGTACGCTATGCTCAAGGTCTGACTTCAGAGAGTGCTGCAGTTTTTAGCATTTGACGTACACATTTGCACAATCCTGTAAAAATACTAAGCTTTATTCGAGCTGAACCTGCGAAAAAAATGTACGTTGACCGAACCTGATGACGAGTATTGTAAGTGACAGTTGGATTCTTGCTTAATTCCTGGCCACATCGCCCACATCGCCCACATGTAGGAAAAACGGCTTAGAAAAAGATTTTCGCCCATTTGAAACGCGTGCAATGAACCCGAAATACACCTTGAATTCCAAAGAACTGGACCCACGCAAAAGGGAGTAAAACCTAGTGGTACAATTAGTTAATTTAAATCACAGATTGCAAAAATCTACAACACTCAGCATCAACTTTCACATGGGAAACAACAACTGTCCTATGAAGTTGTATTACTTCCTGTACCCACTGAGGTACATCTTCCGATTGCATTGAGGGTTGCACATACATTGCAACTACGATCCTGTAAAAGAAGCACACTTGAACTGACACCTCTAAGTTTTTCAAAGTTTTGAAGATGTAATTTGTTTGCTCGTTGTGCTGAGTGGGCTTCAAGAGCTCGAGCTCTTACCGATTCAGTGAGTGTCGTCGCATCAACTAGCGAAGTCATTGCGTGACAAGTCTATGTCTTCTTGTGTTTGGCAGTGTATATGTACTGCATCAAGCCAGATATGCCTGACATAGCCTGAATTTCTAGACCCTATTGATTTATGAAACAAGCTCACTTGTAATGGTCTGTTAAGCGAAGATCGATGGTAAACATCGAACCTTTTTTTGTTGTTGATGTGCTAACTAAACCTTGGCTTGCTAAACTCTTTACTGCAATAGTATTCGGTTCATGCGAGTGCAATATGCGTCATAAGTTGATTTTTTCTCAATTCTCAGGCCTTAAGGAGTTTATTGGCAAGTGCAGGTGCAGGCGATTTAGGACACCATGTCCTCATATGCAGTTGGATGGCGTATTATCGACCATAAAATCCGTTCCAGTTAAACAATGGCCTCCCGTGGTCGTCGACGGCCCCGTGTCGAAGATTCTGATGGCGAAGATGTACTTGTGCTGAATGAACTCAATAATTCCGCTCGTAGCCAGTCTCAGCACATTCTACTCTCAGATGACGAGGATGATTCATTCACGGCTCCTAATTCACATCCTCCTCAGCAGATGCCTTCTGCTTGGTCAGTATCCGAACTCCGGCCTTTGAAGGTGGACAGTTTTTGAGATGGATCATGCCTTAAGAATCTCATGCTCTAAGGAAATCATGTCCGAAATATGTCCGATGAATGCTCTACCGGATTGAAGAGTGAACTGTTTGACTAAGTTTCTACTCTCATTCTTGTCTACGAAGTAGTTGCCGCAGACCTTTTACAGTGAGATAATCACTCTCCTAATTATGGCTTTGTTGTTCACAGGCTTCCTGTTGTAGAAGTGCTGCATGGTAGAGGTGTCAAACCTCGTACTGAATGGCTGTTATCGTGCCTGAATAAGTTGGCAGCATCATACTCGGATTTTGCACAAATGCCGGCTTTCAGGAAAGCTGAGCTCTGCTTTGAACAATTTTTGATGGCTGATATGAATATGGCTGGTGCTGCTGTACTTCCTGCATCTATGCACTCCCTCCATGCCACAGAATTGCCTGGCCCTTTTGTTCTGCAGGTAACATAACCACGTGTTCTCTCTTGCTTTGATTCCTTAGATGGACTCTTCGAGATTCTGCTATCGTCTGTTCTGGTGTGGACGCTGCCACCATCTCTTGATCTTGAATCCTGCTAGGTCATCTCCTTAAGGTTTGAAGCTCTCATTTTCTTGGGATGGTAGTTTTTCAGGTCGATGAGATAACCGACATAAGTAATTCTGCAAGGGATCGTTATCAAGAAAAAGCGGCAGGACCTGGCAGAACGTTAAAGCTTTCAATGACCGATGGTGTTCAACGTGTATATGGGATGGAATACAGGCCAATAAAAGCCCTCCAAGTGTTCTCTCCAGCCGGACTGAAGGTGTTATTCTGGATTGCTGAAATCTGATGCTTCTGCTTACAGTAAACAAATGTTCGAAGCGGTGTATACGGATTTATGTATCATATGTAGTTCAGGTTGAATTGCTAGAATATCCGGCCATTTTCATGTACTTATATTCGGACGGTTCTGCAGGTTTCTTTAAGAAATGTATGTGTACGGCGAGGGCTTCTCTTGCTTGTTCCAGAAATCTTGGAAATCATGGGCGGGGTTGTGGAACGCTTAGAAACTGCCAGGTTAAGGGCGGTTGAAACCATCAATAAACCACCACGAGGAAGACGGTAATATTAATCGTTGAACTGCAGGATGCGTATGTATGCAGTATGAGATCAAGACTGCTAATTTGAGTATTGGAGACCAAATGGTTAAATGAATTTCCTTCATAACTACTGGACCTTACTGATTTACTATTTACTTGACCAGAGTTCCCCGGGGTACTAGAGAACCATCATTGGCCGAATCTGCAACTCGCGCAGCCTGGCCAGATGAGACTGGCGAGGATTCTAGGGTGCCCCCTGCAGGTAGCTGAGAAATACTCTCGTTTAATGATTATTCGATTGTTTTGATTCTGCTCGTGTTGCCAACACAGTCTCACTGTAGTATTTGTGAATCATGATACAGGCCTCTTAAAATAGCAGGGGAGTAAATTTGCAGAAAGAGGGGAATATTTTTGTTATTGTGTATGCTTAAAATCGTATCTGAAGTTGTTATGGATCTTGTTCTGGTGAAATCATCCTCTGTCTAGGAACTCGATCGTCGACAGTAATTCCTACACCTGGTACAACTCATTCAGCAAGGGATGTGCAGCGAAGAGAACAACACCGATTCAACTCGCAGGATCAGGATGCATGCTTGAGGGCGCCTTCGGCCCAGGTTACACCAGTACCTCAGTTTATTAGGCCGGAAGCTGAGAGGTCAACAACTCAAAGTGAGGCTGGGCAATTGCATCAAAGAGCACAACCAAGTAGAGAGGCATTCAATGAATCTGTAATGAATCAAACACCAAAGGTGGACGTAGTCCAACATGTACACCAGCATCAGCACGATGTGCAGCAAGATCAAAGTTTAGGATTAAGTAGACAGTCTGGAAGGGCCTCCTGTACTCCTCGACTTACCAAATTTGAAGTGGTGCAAGAAGAGCAGCACCAGCGCTGTCAACAAGAACATGGAGCAGAAACAAGTAGGCAAGAAGGCAGCACTGCTGTCTCACAGCAGGCATTAAGAGTAGGAACTGTACACCAAGGAGGACAAACCCAGGAGCATTCAAGGCACGAGGCAGAATCAAGTCGGCAGGCAAGCAAATTTCGTGATACCAAGCAGTGTGTCCAATCAGCAACTCTGCAACAAGGAGAACAAGGCCAGGTTTCCCACAATCGACCAGCTGCAGAACCCACGAAGTTGTCTGTCCCATATGCAGCTGAGGGACCTACACAAAGCCCTGGAGTCCCCTTACTGAGTCCAAGTCTCGGCAAACTTTCTCTCCGATCTCGCCGATCCACACAATCAACTGTTTCACTGCAGTCGAATCTGCAGTCTTCTCAACCATCACAATCATCTTTGGGTAATGTTCAGCTTTCGTCGTGCCCACATTTCATGGTTTTTGTGATGTCTACGTTGTTTTGTGAAGAAAAGGAGTTTTGCTTCAGTCCCTTGGATATGTTGGACGTTCGAAGGCAACCCCTACTTTGTGATGCTAATGCAGATCGAAAATCTTCTCTGGTACAATTTACAATCTCGTATTATTTGTGCAAGCATTTTGTATCTTGTCTCACACATATCTATCTAGGATCAGGGCTTGTTGAGAAATCCTGGTCACCACGTGATGCAATCCAGGTTTCGGTCTTGTTCTTTTGCCCAAAGAGAGAGCATAGTTTATTCGTGGAAGTCCTTTTATGGATAGAGTATCTAAAAGGTGAACCTTCTTCATCTCCCGTGGGCTGTGTATAGGTGAAGAGCTTGAGAGGAATGAAGAAATTACCGAACCTGAGGACAAAGGCTGTGGCCTTGCTGCTGAAGAGACAACTCATATGTTAGAGATTGATAACATCCCTTTCACTTATCTGTCAACGCTGGATGACACCAGGCAATCAAATAGAGGCCAGGATGTAGAAGCTCGTGGTAGAGTCAAGGTGTTTTTATTACTCTTCTGAGTCCCTACGTGCAATTATTATTGTAGATGACGTATGAAAAGAGTGACAGTTGTTTTTGTAAAGCTAGTTTGCTGCTAATTTATTGTCTACTACTTTCTTTTACAAAATATATGTTTTTTCTGTTTGTTCTTCTTCAATTTCATCTTCCCATGACAACTGTCTATTAAGGTGTTACAACTTATGTATTCAAATGAGTAGAAATCGATTGACCTTATCATTGCTCAGTATCTCGTGAATTGAAGACTTCATATGAAAAAACTCAATTGTGAATGAAGAGCCTTCAAAGATGTAGAAATCTAACAGTACGTTTACAGTGCGTCATCGCAGGAGTTGGTAATTTTCAGTACAAGGGCTGTGAGGAGTTCAAGCTACTCCTACATATTGAGGACGGCACACTTATTACGGAGTGTTCTGTTGCGCATCAGGTATCCACCACTTTGAAGAACATTTTCATACAGGAAATATCTTGCGTGTGTATCTGGCATCAGGCTTTGACGGTTCATCTCTTTCCTTGACACTAGGTCGTTCAAGGTCTTGTTGGCCACTCTCCACTTGAAGTGAGCTCAAAACTAGCGAACTCTGACACTCACCAAGAAATGTTGGAGAGTTTGATCCAATTCCAGAAGTTTCTCGAACGATTTGAGGTACGAACCAACCGTTAAAGTTCATCTTATGACTATTTTGCACAAGAACATGTTCTCACTTTCTTTTTCTACTAAATTTTCCCTTTGAATCCGCATGTTTCTATTCGAATAACCAAATTCTTAAAGTTGTGAAATATGTAATGTTTCTAACGTTTTGAGACTAAAACTTATCAAATGTGACAGGGCTACATGGATCTTGAGTTTAGGAAAACATCGCCTGTACCCATGGTTGTGAACATTGTTGAAGGCGTTGAAAGTACAGACGCAAGGCATCTTCTCAGACGTTTTCAAATGTCAGTTCCCAGTCGACCTCCGACTGGGGTCAAGGAGACTATCGATCTCCTGTCACCTTGAGCAGTAGATGATGGTATTTTACTGAGTATGTTACTGAGTATGCATACTCAGTAACACAATTAGTCTCTTCTCTTCACTTAAGCTCATAGAGTAACTGTTGAGAGTTCAAGTATTAGATAAACATGGACTGTAGTGTTCAACAATTTTGGTCACTAAATTTGTGAATTGATCTTCACAGCGTACAATGACGTTAGTATTAGTTCATCCAATTAATGGATATGTAATGAGGAGGGCCACTGTACAACGGAAACCTTGTGCGTGAGATTCATTTAGGGTTCTCAAGGAATTTTGAATCTTGGCCATGTTTATTAGTTTAAGCTTGAAGATTGTCACTCTTCTGAGCCCAACTCTTTTCATAAACCCAATAAAATCTAATTTTTTCATCGAATGGTTCGTTTCACCGGAAGCAAGGTATCTTTGACTCAATTTTGATCCAAATTGTGGCATGTGCATTGTTATACTTTCAATGAACATGCTCTTTGCTTCAAAGGCAGAGGCTTGAAGGTAAGCATATGAAAATTATGAGACCATAAGAAAGAATGACATGCTTTGATTTAATATGTTGCGGTTGACAGGATTGCACTTGGATTATAGGACACACAGGGCCCATGATTGTGGACCACATATATGAACGACTGCGAAGAATGCATACTACTTAATAACTGCCAAAAGAATGAACTAGCACGGGTGCGTGCTAAACCAGTGAGGGCCCCCACAAAATAATAGTATCAAATATACTAAAAAGAAATAGGAATGTGTTTTCTGTCTAGTAGCTCGGTGTCAGTGTTGTTCCTGCCACAGCCGGTCCAGATGAGTATTTGCTTTCGTGAAAAGGAGCATAGAGCTCTCAACGTTAATGTATGTCCGATTTGGTAACAAATTAGCAAGTAAGCCATGAGGGTAACAAGTCGGTACAGATTCAGAGAGGTACAAAGTAGAAAATCAGCAAATGGCGAGGGGTATCGTCCCTCAAAAACAAAGATATAATCAAGGCCCATAGACCTATCGTTTCATAGCCGATTTCCTCCATGATTGGGTCCTTAAATATGTCCTCCTTCATGAGAACTTTTCGTTTGGGTGTGACACATCACTCCGAGAACATTATCCGAATCACTACAAACATGATAAAAACATGGGATGACATTTAATAATATAAAAAAAAACAAACTAACATTCATAGGCGGTAGTACGTTCCAAGGGTTGGGCTGTTCGCTCATTAAAGCGGTACGTGAGTTGGGTTCTGAACTTTGTGAGACAGTTCGGTCCATATCCGGTGTGGGCGTTAGTGCATTGAGAGGACCTTTCCCTAGTACAAGAGGACCGGGAATGACGCACCTCTGGTGTACCAGTTATCGTGCCCACGGTAAACGCTGGGTAGCCAAGTGCGGAGCGGATAACTGCTGAAATCATCGAAGTAGGAAGCCCACCTCAAGATGAGTTCTCTCCTATTCTTCTTCTCTTGAAGCAGTCTTTGGGTAATAAACATACTCAAGACACTGTGAAGTCGTTGCAAGAAATGGAACTACAAAAGTCTTGAGAATCCAAGATAATGTCGCGGCAAGACTAGCCGTTTATTTTTACGATAGGTGCCAAGTGGAAGTGCAGTAATGTATGTAGCTGAGGCATCCTAACAGACCGAGAGATTTGAACCTTGTTCCGCCATGACCTGATCATGAGAGTAGTTTCGATAATTCTCGTTTCCATTCCAACGACTTCACACACACATTTTTCACAACACTGTCATAAAAGTTATACAAACCATAGTCATCACAAGATGAGTTTCATCAACATCTTCCAAAAAAATCTCAACTTCTATCTTCGATGTCCACCCACGATATTGTAGTACACCATGTATTGATATATTCATCCAGTGTTGTCTTTCTTAAAGCTCAGCATAACTACAATCTTGTGGAAATTGTGGACGTGTGGAATCTGCTATAGGATGTCGAGCAAGGTATTGCACCTGCTTTGATGAAAAACTCACCCCTGCTTTTTGAAGTCTATTAAAATCTTATGTCAGTGTTTCATGTAGCTAGATGACATAGATTTCTCTCTTTCCATCCAGCTTTAACAGATAGTTGTGATGTACACCTTTCTGTCCGAAATAAACTGACATGATTTCTTTACCTGCAATCAATTTAAGATCTTTCCCCATTGACTCCTCTCTGATCTCCTTCCTTTTAGCTGATCCAGAAATAAATAAAAAGTCATGAATTGCCCTTGCAATCAGACTCATTCTACCTTTTGTGCGAGCATTTTCGTATGCTGAACACATGGCCGAACGTGGTGCTTTCCAGTGGGCTTCATTGAATTGTGCATCAAGTCATGCTCCCACTCCACTCACTGCAACCCAACATTTCCCTGTCTTCATTGTCGTTGTCGGCTTGAGCTTCACCTTGCAATTCAACTTCTTCTCTAAGTTGCAGCAGCTATGTCCTGATTGTCCACTATGGAACCATGAATCTGACTGTCTCGTATAAAGCCATGATCAAAGGTTACAAGCGACGTTGAACCCGAGAGTTTCTGCATCATGTACAAGTTCTTTCTGATCTATAGAGACGACAAGGAGCTTCGAAACATTTGTGACAACGTTTTAAGTGCAAAAAAAAAGTCATTATTCTACAAAAAAACAACCTGACTCAAATGTGCCAAGAATATATTCTACCTCAACTAATGTGTCACATTACACCCTAACCTCGATATTGTCACTAAAAAATTTGAAACCGATTTTACTAGTGTAAAACTCCCTCTTTATTATCACTATCACCCTCATAATGTCACAATCTTTTTCCAAAATCTTTAGAGTAAATGTGATAATATCAAGTATCGATGGATTGTATAGTAGCAAAAAGATCAATCTTTAGTGTAAGTGTGATAATATCAAGTATGGATGGATTCTATAGTAGCAAAAAGATCAATCTTTAGTGTAAGTGTGATAATATCAAGTATGGATGGATTCTATAGTAGCAAAAGGGTCATGAGCCGCACCTTGATAAACGAAATGCTATTCTGAGTGTCGTGAGACGCCCCCTTGCACCAACCTTAGATCTTACACACCCGGCACTTGCATCATTTTGTTCTCATTCACAGTTTTGAATTATATTTTACATCTTAAAATTTTGAAGTCTTTCATTTGTTTTTTTTTTTTTTTTGCATTGTAGTTTTATTCTGATTTTTTAACTTTTTCTCGATTATATCACATTATGTATAAATTTTCAAAATGTGACATTATCGAAAATGTCACACCTTGTTTATATCACACTTTATGGTGAAACGGAAGGTGTGATATTATCTAGGTTAGGGTGTACGTGAGGGCCCACAAAATCTGAACAACATGTCTGAGCGTAGGTATGAGTGTAGTGTTAAGAGACTTATATCTTATAAATGACACCTGAATTCCTACCTCCTCTAACCATAACTAGTTCTCCGTAAGGTAAAAAGTTACTGGGTAATGCATGTTCCTTTGCCTTACCCGCACCACTACTTTTAACTTTACCTAATATTTTTTTATCCGATTAATCGATTCACATTCTCTATGTGTATCACGACTATGATTTACCAAAATATTACGATTACAAGTATAGATAAGACTTTTTGAGACTCGGATTGTGGTAACCCACTTTTTGCTTTTGTGCGGAATTTAAAACAATTTTGGAAAACAGTACCGCAGCAGCCGTGTAAATGGTGATCGGTACATTTAAATAGAGTAAAGATGGATAATCGCGGATCTCGTAGAATCCAGAAGTTGGGAGCAATGTCCGGAATAGGCGCCCGACTTGAATGATCGATACTGAAAGAGTTCTCCTTCGGCGCAAGGCGCATAATCCGCCTTCGGCGGTACGCCTTCGGCGCTAAGGGGATCCCTCAGAGTTTATGCAATTCACAACGCCTCAACTTGCTTGAGGTCTTGTTGTAAAGAGCTCGACGCGTTCGTTCTAACGAGCCCAAGAATGCCTGGAACGGATGAGGACTCAGGGAGTTGTGACTATCGGAAGATGCGAAGAAGAACGTCTAAGGATAGGCGGAAGGAGTTCGTCGTCGGCGGGAAGTCCGCCGGGAATTCCGCCTTCGGCGGTAGGAATTCGCATGCGCGTAGGCACTTTGCCATCGGCGGAATATCCGCCTTCGGCCCTAGATGTTCGCCTTCGGCAACGGACGTCTTCGGGGATACGTCTTCAGCAATGCGGGAGAGTGCATTCGGCGGAAGAGTGAATCCCTTATAACTTTCTCAATTCATAACGCCTTGATTTGGTTAGGATTTCCTTGGAAAGAGCTCAACGCGCTGGTTCTAACGAGCCCAAGAACTTGTGAAACGAATGAGAGGTCACTGAGTTATGAGTGTCGGAAGTTACTGATATGAGCCTTCGGCGCAAGGGCCTTCGGGCCAAGGAGTTGCGAGTAGGGAGCCGGCGGGGAACGCCGACTCGCTACTCGCTACTCGCCTGCGGATAGGAGTACGCCTGCGGATAGGAGAACGCTTACGGATATGAGAGATTCGCCTTCGGGGCAAGGACCTTCGGCGCCACGTGGCAGAAGATTCCTGATGGCGGAAGTTGGCGGGATTATGACAAGTGTGGGAAGCAGAACGGCGGGGCGTGAAGTCGCACGTGAGGAGCAGGCCGTTACCCATAATCGCGAGAACGGCATTCAAGCGGCATATGGGTCCCCCGGACCTCGGATTTTGGAGAAGGAATGTCGGCCTCGGTTCAGAGATCTTACGGGGCCCATATCTTTGAGATGGACGGTCGGATGGATCTGAAATTTGGTGGGGTCGTTGATCTCAGCCGGCCACGCATGCGTGCAAATTTTCAGCCTCAGATCTTGGATGTAAAGACGCTGGCGGCTCTGTAGAGTAGGTTTAGGATTCAAATTTAGGGTTAGGGTTAGATTTAGGTTGTAAGTTAGAGGGGAAGGCAGCCGCCGACTCCTCAGGTGTAGGATATGTTGCGGCTCACACCATAGTAGGTAGTGTAGTGTTAGTTAGGACTTAGGAGGTATAAAGTAGTTCAAGGCGTCTTGCCTTGGGATTCTTCCAGTTTCGGAAATGGAGATCAAGAACTCATTTTCTCTGCGTGTTTGTGTCATTAGTTCTGTCACCACGCAAGAGGAGCTACAACTTGGCGTTCCGCAGTTTGTAGCTGAAGGACTTTGGCCGAATGTTCAGAGCTAGTTTACTGGTTAGAGACTTGAGTAGTTCGTATCTACACCTGCGGGTGATTGCCGATGCTCAGAGCAAGTTACGAGTTAGATACTTGAACAGTTCTCCCTTACACTTTCGAGTGATTGTTCCTTATTGTACTCCTTCGGGATTTTTCCCCTGAATGCCAAAGTGAAGTTTTGCTACTTCGAGTAAGCCTTGGTTGTAAATTCAGGTCACGCTGCAGCAGGTGGCTCGGGGCAAATCCCTGTAGTATTTCTGGGAATGACAAGTGCCTAAGAATTCAAACTCTTCAATAGACTGTTATGGTGTGCTACTAGATCGTTTCTTAGCTGAGTCTCTCAGTCAGACCTGTGTTCTCTGCGCATTTTGTGAGTTGAGTGTGTTGTTCACCGCGTGTGAGTGACTTCGATCCGAAGTAGGAAGTCCAATCCGGGTTCCCTGTGCTAGCAGAAACTAGTGGAAGGGTTGTAAAATCCGGAGTTGGAAGTCACTACCCGCAGCTTCGCTGAGTGTATTCGTGAGAAACTTTCCCCCTGAAATCTTAAGTAGAGGTCCTAACAGACCTCTGAGTTGTGTTTCTATAGTTTCAGGTGTGTGTGTGTGTTGAGTGAACTACGCTGCACTGTGCGACCTCCGAGTGAACACTTGCAGTATTTCTGGGAGTGACAGGCGCCTGAGAATTCAAACTCTTCAATAGTCTGTTAAATGTGACACTTTGTACTCTGTGTGTTGCCTCTATCCCTGTGGGTTCGACCTTTCTACCACTATATTGCAGTTTTAACCTTTGGTGGGTTATTACAGGGATGAAGCCTCGCAAGCAATCACAGATTGCATTTTGAGTTTGACCACCATAGTTTTTTGGTTAGGGCACAATCAACATTGTCGATTCAAAGTTTCCTCATGGATAGATCGGGCATGACGTTTTTGCTTCGACGAGTCGCGCCATGAACTCTATGGCGGACTTTTGCCATGTTATCCAAAAATTATTAGTTAATCCATTCAGCTTTAACTTTACTCTAACCATACATTTTACCTCTACCTTCTATCGATTATCGTGTAACCCTAAAAGGTTACCTTACCTTGTCGAGGCCTAAACATAATCATAGAATGCTCTTGCAACTTGTTCCCTTCGTCGGGAATGTAAGCAATTATAATCAGTTTATTTATGTTAAATGTAGTTTAGCATAAAGTGTTGAGGTAACTCCATTTATGTAGTATACTGAGTTTCTAGGTAAAAATAGCTAGGAGTGTGGCCGGAGCTAAAAAATGTATACCCTTAGGGTTTGTGTATCAGTCTGAAAATTCAGTACATTCTCACACATTCAATTTCTCGTGTACGTATTCCTTTGTGGTAAACCATGTTAAATCTTGGTGTCATTTGTTTACTATTATTTGATTTTTGTGTATTTGTGATTCTCGATATATTGCTAACAAATTGATATCAAAGCGATGTTTTGGTTTGGTTTTTCAGACAATGAAAATTTTCATTTTTGATTGTTTTTATATTTGTTGTTGGTGACTGTTTTCTCACTAAGTTCATTGT